CCGGACAACCTCCTCGCTTTCATGCTTTCCTGATATATCAGGAGTAAATTTCCGAGATTTTGCGGTGCGAAATCTGACTTTCGCTTACTTTATCATCCGAATTAATTCTTCTATTAACTTTTATTGTCTTCTAACGTCTCTACTGATGCATAATTAAATTCTCGCTATTTTTTAATTATTATTTTAGATTATAGTATTCTATTAATCTAATTATTAATATAGTTATTAATTATGTTCTTTTGAATAATTTATGCAAACGCAAAATGCGGCAGAAAGTTTTGCATTCTGAAATGTAAAACGTATGCAACAGCATTTTAAAACTCTTTATTGTCAAATCTCGTTTGAGAGCATGATTTGCATTAACGGACACATCATTTTTTTAACTGTTATTTCTTAATATTATTATTATATACTTCTTTAAATTTTCTTTAAAAAAAAATCAATTATTGTTTTTACTTACAATTTCTCCATTCTTCTATTTCCTTATTTTTGTTGTTGGTTAATTCCTCCATTTCAATCAAATATTTTGCTTATTTTCCAACATATATAAAACGTGATAAATTATCAAAATGACATATAATATATGAAACATATATAATTATCAAAATCACATATAATATATGAAACCAGCAGCTTATAATGACAAGAGAATGAATTGATAGTAGGACAGCTTAGTATCACATACATGTATCTAATCTTATATATAGAACGTATCATTAAAGGAAGGTTGTTTTGAATTTCGCGAAGATTGGTGAAAGGGTTACCGATTTCTGCTTAAAAAATGTGTAAGTTATTTGATGGATAAAGTATCATTATATGTAATTTTATATAGAGTATCATTAAAAACCAGAAACGTTACACATTTTTTAAGCAGAAATCGGTAATCCCTTCACCGATCCTCGCCAAATTCACTAACAATCTTCCTTTAATGATATACTCTATCCATAAAAAAAAATTAAGCTCAATATCTCAAAATTTGGGGAAATTAGGGCAATCATGTAGATTCTTTTAGATAGAAATCGGTAACCCCTTCATTATTAGCAATTTATATTAATTTTATTATATTCTTCAGTTCTTTTTACCCCTATTTCATATATAATTCTTTAAAATTTAGTTAATCAGTTTTTGAGTTATAGAAATTTTGGTAAGTTTGGCTGTTTTTAAACAGAAATCAGTAACCCCTTTATTATTAGCAATTTATATTAATTCTATTATATTCTTCAGTTTTTTCTACCCCTATTTCATATATACGTCGTTAAGATTTGGTTGATCAGTTCTGGAGTTATAGAAATTTCTGTAAATTTGGCACAGCATACATACATACATACACACATACCGACATTTTTTTTAATGCATTATTTCGACGTTTTAAAACACTCTGAACATATTGACATTAAAAACTCAAAAAACAATCTTTTCTTTGGTTTCTTTTACCCCTATTTTATATATAATTCTTTTAAATTTGGTTGATTAGAGCCAACTTTATGCGCAATCAAAGATTCATATACGAATTTACGAAAGCAAAGCTTTCTCTATGAGGAAGTAAAAAATTCAAGGAGACCAAATAACGTGTGATATCATCGTGGAGGTGAACGATGGTTTGACGATTTATTTCAGGCGTGCTCTAAACAGGTCAGGCAGAATTTTACCACTTTGAGTGTGACCCCTTTGAGCCATGTGTAACGTTTTCTTCTTACCTTCCAGGTGCGATGTGCAATTTTCGATAATTTTGATGCGGCGACAATCGTGTATATCTAGTCTTCGCATCTTAATAGCTGGAATCGGAAATTGTGAAAGTACGAAGAGAGGGAGGGAGAAAGAGAGAGAGAAAGAGAGAGAGAGAGAGAGAGAGAGAGAGAGAGCGCACGCACGTACGCACGAGAAAGAGGAAGAGAAGAGCGATGCCAGCTATTTTACCCCCACCTCGAAGATTGTTAGGGCTTACGGGCCACGTGATCGACCAGCAGAATTCGCGGCGTCCGCCGAAAATCTAAATCCGTCCGAGCCGGGGAAGAAGAAGAGACCATCATCTCGGCGACACGAAACAGCCGCCGCGAGATAGTTCATAATCGCCCGTGGCTCGCGCCGGATCGATCGAGGGATCGCGCGCGAGTGCGAAAATCCGCGCGAAACCTCCTCGTGATTCTTATTTTCGCGAGCAAGAAAGGGTAAGAGAGAAAAAGAGAGAAGCGAAGAACCCGCGGAGGATCACTGTTTCCGCTCTCTTCTTGTTTCCCGGGAAGACGGGAGAACGGCGGTGACAACGGCGGCCGATTCGTCGTGAAATCGCTCGAGGAACATGATCCGCGTAGACGAGTCGGATCCGGTGGGAGGTAAGAGAGAGAGAGAGAGGAGGATAAAGAAACTGGACAATTGTATTTTTCCTGAACAGGAGATACCCGGGAAACGGGGAGGGGAAAAGAGGGCACGTTTCGGTCGAGAAACGCGGGAAACGCGAAACGTGTGCGCGCCTGTCAGCGCGCTCGATGGAACACGGGGCGCGACTTTGGGGAAATCAAAAGATGACTATTCTCATTCAAGCAGCATCGTTCTAATCTTCTCTGACGCGTTCTAATACCCAAGTGTCTGCCACTGAATTAAAACAGAAATATTCTCGGCGAATTCAATTTTAGCAATACGGAGAGACGTATCTCGTAGGAATTTCCGCGCCTTGAACAAACATATAGAAGCTATTTTCGCGCGTAATGTCGGAATTTGGGCATCTCGAAATTAAAGCTTTATTTATTATCTTTACTCATCCCGCATGAAATTGTAGGCAGCTGGTGTACAGAAAGAAAAAGAATATTCTTGATTTTAAAATACCTTTAGCTTCAATGTGGAAATCTTGAAATGAGATTACATATAATAAAGTTCATCCAAGCAAAAAAAGTTAAAATTCTTATAAAATTATAGATTGTTGCGTATATACGAATATATAAGTTTTGATTTGGCACTTTTTCTGTGTGGAAGATCCTTTTGGAACAAAAATATTGTGAGACGTGTAATAAATAGAGGTAAATAAATGAAAAAAGATAAAGAAATAAGAATTAGATTCTATTTAAAGGGCTTATCTTTGAAGATGGACATCGGGCTCGAGGGAACGATCGATAGAAACCTTTTTAAGGAAGAGAAGAATAGAGAAACTTTGGGAAACTCTCTCTCAAAATAAATCATTAAAATATAACGAGAAAACTTGCTAACAAGAAAAGGATACAAAATTGATGGCGTCTCGTGAAGTCTTGGCGAAAAGTTGGCGCCAAAACTCTCGAGGAGAACGGGCGCGATACTCAAAGTTGCCCTCTTTCCATCTTCAAGATACGCCGGCTCATCGTTCGGCGATGAAATTGAATGCCAAACGCCTACTCACCCTCGCATTCCACCCGTCTAACCATCGCGCGCGCGCGCCTGTTTTCAGAGATCGAGCCCAGCTTCCCCTATAGAGACGTGACGATACGCCGAGGTGTCGAGTTCAAGGACGATTATGACATCCAGTCGGAGCTCGGACGGTGAGTGATTAAATCCATCGATCAGCGGATGTGTACAGACACTTCGTGTATCGTGCCAACGACGCGTCGATCACGCGCGATCGGATGCGTATCAATCTCGATACAGCCAGGGAATTGACGTCGAGCTGACGTCGTGATTAATGGAGAGAATTTCCAGGAAGTCAACGCGCGGAAACGAGGATCACGTCCACGTAGTTAATTAGTCTAATTTATCGACTTTTAGAGCACCTCGTTTATGCGATCATAACGCAACATCCTTCTGATCTGGAAGATCGTAGAAAAATAATATGGAACATTAGAGATAAATGCGCTAATGCTTCTTCTCGCTCCATCCGCTCTAGATGAAGTAATATACACTGACGATTAACTCCTGATCAACCCGGAAACAGACGCTTGATTTTTTTTTTGCATGAATGGTCATCTGGGGTGATGTTTGCACCCCAATTAAAAGTCATTGTTATTACATACATATTGCATATTTCCGATTGTTCTATAATTTATTAATTTTTAGAGAAACCAAAAATATTTAAAAAATAAAAGAAGCACAACACGTTAAAATTGCTGTGATGTGAGCTTCATTTTTTCGATAGGTACTATTAGAGTGTAAAAATCACCCCGGGCGCCCGTTCCCGGGTTAAACCGGTAATCTAAATACAAATATTTGATGTCTTCGTCGTATGGCCTTCATTCGATATTCTTGTATCGAGTGTCCAATATTCTTTGGGATATTAGAGCCGTTGGCCCGTTTCCACAAAATCAGACGGTATAGTGACAGAATTACAGGAATGTTGCCGTTGCCGTCAGGTGCACGTCTGCGGAATGCAGCGCAAAGGTGATAAGGCGAACACGCGCGCGATCTCGCTCGCGCCGGCAATCAAGGACCCAAGCGCGATACGTCTATAAATAAATATCCGTTTCTCTCGACCCGTGGAGTGAAACGGTACGCACGTCAAACGACGTTCCGACGTCGAGCTTGGGCGTGCCGGTGCTCTTGACACCGGTGGTGAACTCGGCCGACTCGCCAATGTCGGAATGTAGTTTGACAATGAACGTGTTTGCCCTACGCTATTACGATTTCGAAATCGCAGACAAATCCAGTAGGAGCGTGGACGATGCTCGAGAGCGAATTGCTAAAATAAACTGAAAGAGATTTCGATTTTTTATTTTCTTAATAATTGGACGCGTAATTCTCGCCAAATTGCTTCTTTCTATCTTCACGATATTGGCGTCGCTCAAAAATTAAATGTCAAACACGAGAAATTTAATAATAATGATGATAGCAAGAGCGAAATAATGGTCTTCTAGTAGGAAATCTTGTAACATTTCACATTCAACCCTAAGAGAAGAGCGACCTTTAGCTGCAGGCAACCGCTCCATCCTCTCACCTCTTTATGTAACACGATTAATTAATAAATTAATAATTTGATTATATTAATTACTGTATAATAAAATTTAATTAATAGGTGTAATAATTGCGTTCGACGCATCCGTTGACTTAGATACACGAACACAATGGTTCGCTCGCTGACTTGGCCGCGTGACAAGTATGTTGTATTCTGCTTTGTGCTGCCAGGGACATACTGCGGTTGTACAGCTTTGCCAAATCATCTAGTGTTTATTACTTTTTACGCGTTACTTGTTACTTATTACCCAAAAATTCTGTGTTTCAAAGATCGTAGCGCGATTTTGTATACTATGCTTGCTACTCTAATCAACGGAGATTCAATTCAATTTTTACGTAGCTATTCATGTTTAAGCCAAATGATTTTTACCCGATTATATACATAGTATTTACAAAGTAAGAACAAAAAATGTCCGATCGTCTTCGATTATTTTTTTGGTTTCTATACTCGTTTCAGGGGAAAATTTGGAATCGTTTACCGATGTAAGGAGAAAACAGGCGGCTTGATGCTCGCCGCGAAAGTGGTGAACGTCATGAGGAAGGAAGACAGACGTGCTGTGCAAAGAGAAGTAGACATCATGCGACGCTTACAGCATCCACGATTGATTCAGCTGTACGATGCCATTGACACGGGGAAACAGATATATGTCGTTCTAGAATTGTACGTTTTCTTTTTCTCTTGCGGGCGAAACAGCGGGCAAGGGAGCGTAGGATTAGAAAGACGCGCGTTCTGTGAGATTACCTTTAAATTTCCATCATTTAAGGATCGACGGCGGTGAGCTTTTTGAGAGAGTGATAGACGACGATTTCGTACTGACGGAACGCAGCTGCGCCGTTTTTATGCGGCAGATATGCGAGGGAATAGAATTCATGCATGGTCAAAAGATTTTGCATCTCGATTTAAAAGTGAGTCGTTTAATTTATATATTGTCGACACGAATTATTTTGGATATAGTAGAAGATTGGTGTTTGACAATCATGTTCCTCGTAAATCTTCCTATTAATTTTTTTACGATTATGATATGTTTATTATAAAGTTATTTCCAAATTTTCATGTCTTATATTTATCAAATTTAAGAATCTTTGGAAGCTGCTCTGTTTACTCGTAAGAATATAATTATCTATGTAGGCTTCTTATTTAGTAATTTGTGTAATTATTTAGAATTATGTCTGTTGTGTAGCCGGAGAATATACTATGCCTGACGAAGGAAGGTAACAGAATCAAAATCATCGATTTTGGCCTGGCGAGGGAATACGATCCGAGTAAGAAACTACAAGTGTTGTTCGGTACGCCTGAGTTTGTTGCCCCCGAAGTCGTAAACTTTGATCAAATTGGATTTGGTACTGACATATGGAGTATAGGTGTTATTTGTTACGTATTGTAAGTTACGATTCCGCATATTACAGTTTTACGAAGGATATGCGTCTTGTAACTATCGAGCGAGCCTGTTCATCTAACTATTTTAGACTGTCCGGTTTATCACCGTTTATGGGCGACACGGACATTGAGACAATGGCGAATGTCACCATCGCAAAGTACGACTTTGATCACGAGGCCTTCACCGAGATCTCGGAAGATGCCAAGGATTTCATAAGATGCCTTCTGGTGAAAGACAAAGAGTAAGTATATTTTTATATTTTATGTTACATACATACATATATTGTACGTATATATTACTCTTCTGTGTTTCAATTTCTCTTTCTCTCCTTGCTCCTTCTCCTTGCTTCTTTCTTCTTTTCAGTTTCTCACCTTTTCTTCTTGTATTCCCGTATTACCATTTCCCGAATCTGTTGTTACACTCACAATCAGAGAAGAAGCTCCTTCTGTTACACTGTTTAAATTATCCTCTTTGACTCGTTGTGAGGGTGTGTGTGTATGGCTCACAAAACAATCCGTACTTATCGTGACTAATCTACTTTATATGTTCTACTTTAATATATATCAATTTCCACGAACTTGTCAAGCTAGCGATTAGAAAAAAGCGATTTTATCTTGTAGTAAAATATAAGAATTTATTGCATTTTGTAGTAACTCTTAACAAAATGTATGTTGTTTCGACATTGTATATCAACTATTATTTTATTCTCGTCGCATTCAAGAGACGATTTTGTTGTTTCGAGAGCGTCCAAATGTCAAACGAGCAACAGCGGTATATAAAGCTTCGCCCGTCGGATGGTTTCTTATCGAGAATTTTGCATTCAGATACACATAACGCACGTAGTATACGCACATTTGTACGATATTCGAGTCCATCATTGTACTCTTCGTCTATACATTTTCGTCATAATTGTTCGCCCTCGGATCGCGGAATCACGCGTGTCTCCACGTGAAAAGGGAAACGCACTATCGAGCCTGGGCGACACTAGAGCACGACCCTCCTCACGACGAGCCTTTCGAATCTTTCAGAAAGCGAATGACTGCGGCGCAATGTCGGGAACACCGATGGCTGGCCCGAAAAATGAACAAGCCCAAGAGCGAGAAGGAGGTCGCGGGATTGGCGGCGGCCAAACGGACGGCCTTTATCGAGAATCGTCCTGTCATCGGTGTCGTCGACGATAACGGCAGAGAGGAGCTGGACGTGACCAAGGACAATCTCAGACTGTTCGTCGAGCGTTGGCGGGAACATCCGGACAGCCCGTACACGATCGACTCGTATCACGCGTTGCCGAGGAACCTGCTTCGCAGTCGCGACGAATCCATATCCATGCGGGGTCACAGTCCCTCACCCTGCGACAGCCTTCGCAGCAGCAGCACGCAATCGGAGAGGGTGACGGACCCTGCAACCGTGAGAGATAATTCTAGCCACTTGTTGTCCGTGCCGAGTCTCAGCTTGTCCTTGGAGAGGAGAGCTTCCGAAGGTACGGCCGCGCGAAACCGTCGCGATCCCGCCAGCCAGATCGCTCTGGCCGAGGAGATCATCAAGCTGTCCGAGCATTTGCGCTCGATCGCCATGGGGTCGCGGGTGAATGAGGAAAATAACGGAGGCCCAATGGAAGCGCAGCGGTTCACCAGGAGGCCCGGTGATGTCGGGAATAATCGCGATACCTACTCGAGGAGTAATGTTAAAGTGACGTCTCACGTCGATAAAGAGACCAACGAGATCACGGAGAAACTGTCTAGTATCACTCGGCAGCGAAAGCTCAACGGAACGACCTTTCATAGTAGCCGCAGCTTCGACAGGCACAATCTCGATCCAAATTTCGGTAACGTGTTCGTGGCCCTGAGGAGAACGAGCATCGGCGATGGTGATATGTCCGAGAGACGCAAGGATTCGCGAAAATATTCCCTCGAACGAACGACGATCACCGAGACGATCGATGAGAAGTTCAACGGGGAGAGGATCGGGAGAGGTAGGAGGTCTTCCACCGGCGCGGAGGAAATGGACCTGACGCCCCCGTGGCGACGGTCCCGCGTGAAACGATCCTTCGGCGAGACCAGCAGGGATGTTCCACGGATATCGAATTTGCGGGACCTGCACAAGAATCTGAACTTGGACGAGCCGGGCAGCACGAAGGACCTACTGTTGCATCTGTTGGGCGAATGGGAGGAAGTCACCACAATGTCCGGCGGCAGCGGCGGCGGAGTCGGCGGCGGCGGCGGTGGTGGTGTCGGTGTCGGCGGCGGCAGAAAGTCCGTCAGCCTGGACTGGTGCGGGGCCGACACGATCGCTAGGAGGACGATGAATTCGTTGGCGCAGTACTTCCAGTCGAAGCAACAGGAAACGAAATCTCCCGACGTCGCGTCATCCACGTCGCCGTCGATACATCGTTGAACGACACGTCCGCGCTTGCAGTTTGCGCACTTGCGAATGGTTCGTGGACCGGATCAGGAAAATGCGCGGCGTTAACGATCTTTGCTCTCTTCTTACGATCGTAATTTCGTTTATTTCGGAACAATTTGACTCTCAAAATGAGACATACGCCTATAATAATATACTTAGTAGATGATTCGCAAAGATTAATCTATGAAAATGTGAATCTTTGATCTTCAAAGTCGGGAAATGATTTTATTATTCAACCCCTTTCAATCCATCTTATAATTAATTATTTTTTAACAAACACTTACGAATGACAAACAAGTGCATTCTTATTTCATATTCTTTAAATAATAAAATTTTTAAGAAAAAATTAGAAGAGAGAAGAGTTTTTTAAACGAAACAAAGTTAAGTTTTAATTATCTTAACGCCTGTTTAACTTCGGTGTCCGACTGAATCTTGGATTCACATCCGTTTCTGCAGATGTGTTTTCACAATTAAAAACAAGTCAGAATCTTGCAATTTCGTGACATTTCATAAAATAATGTATATATACATAAAATGTCGCGAAAGTGTAAGAGACCGTAAAGTCCTCTATTATTAAACTTGAAATAGACACAATTTTGATGGATATTTGTAAACGGAGAGTTAAATTTGGATAATAAGGATGATATATAGGTTTATATTACTTTAAGCAAAATTCTCGATAACTGTGTACCATCGATACACCCTCAACTCAATATTTTTATATGTCGTCAGTACAATTTAATTAATTTTCAAGGAGCCTATATCTACAAGGAATTTCGATTTGATTCCTTGCAAGCTAATAAATCTATCGTGCAGACATTTTCAACAGAAAGAACGGCGCAAAATTCGTCGTTCCGAATTTAAATATCCTTTTTTTCTGCAAACAACAATTTCTCAACAAGCGTTCCAGAGGGAAACCCTTATATTTAATATACTGTTATTTATTAATAGAATTAATCGGATATATTCTCATGTATTATAATAATAACAATTATGAGAGAGGCATAATAGATTAAGTCTAGAATTTTTTACTCATTGTCAGTATATATATAACATATATAATGTTGCACGAAATTTGCAGGAGAGCTGATTGAAATAACATATACATTCACGCACATGTTTCTTGTTAAATATAGTCACATGTTCATATTTTATATCTAATATATAAATCACAGAGTACTCTATAGGAAAGTTTCAAGTTCACTTGCTTCGCGCCCACACACATCTCCCACACATCCGAATAGCGAATAAATTAAGAAACTGATTGGTCTTCTTGCTATAGGGAAAGACCGTCTGCGGGAAAGCTTATAGAGCACCGTTGGCTGGAAGCCGCTCTGGAGAACCCGATACAGAAGCACCGATTGAAACGCTATGTCATTAAGAAGCGCTGGGTTAAGGCGGTTAACGCTATCCTGGCGTTGAAACGGATGGGCGCGCGTCTAGACTTCGACTTGATCTAGTATCGGCTAACGACATATCATGCATCCGGACTCGATGACGTTACGCGAAATAGTCATTTCACATCTGTGCTAACCTTGCATTATTTCATATAACTATTCGTTCAACGCGTTTGTCGGATTTTAAGTGCGGGACAAATAATGGACAAGAGGGAGAGAACGGACGAACGTTTATTGAAATGAAACAACTGGCGCGCAATTCCGGCGTAATCATTCGGCCGCGATTGAAAACGAGGTCGTGCTTCCTCGTCGTTGTTTATTCTGATATATAATACTATTGAACGAAAAATACTCGATTATTCCGCACAGCTAGGCGGATAGATTAATTGTCAGTAAAACAAATTGTTGCAGCTATGCGAGTAGATGCTCCTGTCGCTCCTGTGTCGATTGAAATTCGATGAAATTGGATTTTTCCCGCGGGCTGTTTTGGATGTAATTTGAACTCGTCTGAAATATTCTCCGCGTATTTATATTATCTATATGTATATAGGTATTATATATGTACTGTATATATATTTACAAATACTATACACTATATATGTGAAACGCGCGCGTATAAGGTTGTATTTTATTTTTAACAAAGTCTTTATCAATAACGTGCGAAAAAACAACGAGCTTGTTTATACAAAAGTCATACAAACTGATCGTATCTCTTTCGCGATTGGCAATAAAAAAAATACTGGAGATAAAATGTTGGAGGAAAAATATTGGAGAAAAAAATAAGAGGGAAAATACGAGAGACCCGGTTCGAATTGTGTGTGTGTGAGTCATCCTGTATATTTAACTGTACCTTTTAGATATTATATACGGTTCGTTTCGTGTGTCATTACACGAAATAAAATTGCGATAGCGATAGTTAAATATTACACCGCACCATATTTAATAAACAAATTAATAATTAAATAATGTAGGACATGAAGGCATTTGTTAACCGAGATTATCGTATAATTTTGTCTCGCAACTTTTGAGCTGTATAAGTTATTTTTGCAAATTAAACTAACAATTTTAATACATATATTGATCGTGTCAAAATATACATATATTTTTTGTGGATATACAGCACGGATCAGAACCGAAACTATGTTACCCAGTGGGAAAATTCACGAATTATAGCTACGTAGTTCCACGTTCGCAATTATGTGCACAGTTGGCGTCTCGGTTCACTTTGTTTACATTTCGTCGGGCAAAAATATGCGATTTATTTACTAAATATTTAAATGCGCTTCTGACGCCACAAATATATTTAACATGGTGAGTGTTTTTCTTCATCGACGAGATACTGAAATAACAGATAACCCTAAATTGCATTAATATGCATGTACTAGAATTAACGCAATTGACATTTCTAGGTTATACTGCATAATTCTGTGGTACTTTATTAGTGTGCATATTGTTTCGCAACAATTAGTCTTTTAGTCAATTTAATCTTTAAAATATTAGGTGGTAACTTTATAGTAGTAGCAGTTATTTATATGATAGCAATTTACGACTTGTTCTGAGAAACATTAGTGTAATTGACCGTTTTATATTTTAGGGCGAGGACGTGTTGCAGAATTGGACCCCTTACGCCAGAGAATACGATCCCTTAAAGGCGGGTAGTATCGATGGAACAGACACGCAGCCTCACGATAAGGCTGTTAGCAGGGCAATGCTGATGCACTACGAGCCACCGCGCAATCTAGAATCTAAGCCGGAAAGAACTATATTTGTAGCTAGACTCGGTCCCAAAATCACTAATTACGACCTGAAAGAGGTAACATTATCTTCGAATAGAACGACATACGTTTGGCAATTTTATTGTACGTCTTGTACAATCATTTATAAAATTTTTATTGTTTAGTTCTTTGGCAAACATGGAAATGTTGTTTCGGCGAAGGTAATAGTGGACGTGGTGACCGGACTCTCTCAAGGGTACGGTTTTGTGGAAATGAAAAGCGAAGAGGACGCTAGAAGAGCGTTGAGACGAACCATCGATGCCACGTTAAAGGGATACAAAATATTTATCGACAACGAATGCGGCCGTACCTTGAAGGGATGGAAACCTAGGAGACTCGGTGTGTAATCAGCAATTAGATGCGTACGATTTTCGTAGACAAATATGAAAAATTTTAACTCTCTGATTCTTAGGTGGTGGTTTTGGCGGCAAAAAGGAATCGGGCCAGCTGAGATTCGGGGGAAAAGATCGACCATTTAAACGACCGATTGTACCTAATATTTTAAAGCCGAAAAGATAAATAGCCTGTTCGACATTTGCGACACTATTTCCGTCCACCGTTTCCACACTCTTTCATTCCTATACCTTTCCATTTGTTATTCCAATGCATTAATAAAGCAACATACAGAACACACAGGTTTTGTCATTCGAGAACGTGAGTGGCGTTTCACTTCGGTCAGTTTTACCGCACTGCACCTCGCTATTTTAACAGCAGAGATCGATGTGACTGTGAAAAAAAACTGCGAAATGTTTAATGCGACTCGTGCATACGACTATCGTCGAATCAAACAAGCGCGTCGTATTTCGTCTCCGGTCGTAGATCGCGTGAACAATTTAGCGCTAAATCTTCGCGAGATGGTCTTTCGAGCACACCGCGGGGAATCGTATTCGCGCCCGCCGGCAACTTTATACCGCATCATCGCGGTCTCCCACACACGCCTCTCTCCATATAAGGAGGCACCTCGCGATTCGACACAGTCACATTCAAGCTTAAACTTCCAACACCGACGACAACGGCGGCGATGCTGATAAGGCAACCCTCTTCCTTCCGCTAGCTAGATGTTAGATGACTAAGATGACGCAGGCATCCCGTACCCTTCAGCAGGGTCTTAGACAGCCCACGTTCGTTTATCGCGGCTCCTATTTTATCGCTCAGGCTCTACTACGATTTCATCAACGGTGCCCCCGCAGTGCATTCTTTTTTTCCTCGGCGAATATGAGTCACAAAGAGCGCGTATCGACAGCAGAGCCGAAATGTTTTACGTTGGAAATAACCGAAGTTACGACATATAACAGTTTGTTATCCCGAGCTTTTTTTATGTAAATTGTGATTATAAGAAAAATCGATTCGATTTGTTTAGATTCAGAAAAGCACTGTACATTCTTGAATGTTACAAATATATCGGAAGACAGTTACAAAGGAATATATACATATATACATATATTTTTTTATTTTAAGAAACTTTTCAATTTGATTAATGCGAAATTACACACTGTTTTTATGTCTTATAATGCCTTGGAAAAAAAAAACGTTAACGAAGCATTCGTATTTAAATCGAACCTATCACAGAGATTACGTTAACTAAAAATTAAAGCGTATGGTAATCATCCTAGCTAGCAGAAGCTTTTAAAAGATGTTTAAAGGGAGTCTGAAAAATTATGTCGTCTTTTTAAACGTTTTTAAGACGTCTTTTAGAAGCTTCTGCATGCTAGCTGAAATACTAAGATATTAAGACTAATGAATTGCACACAATTACGTATGCAATTACATGCGTAGGGGGAGAGCGAGTAGAGATCTCGCTAATTTTCGGTGTACCGTCATACTCTACAATTTAAATTTAAAAGACAAGATTCTCGATCTTCGAGCGATCTTCAGCGGATCTTCGCGGACCTCTGCAGCCGGTTCATCTCACCATTGTCAACGGCCATCGGGAGGTGGGGGCGTGCGATCGTAACAGGCCTACTTTTGGAGCAATCGTCCGTCGAATCCGTCCGGCGGAAGAGCGCGAAGTCCGCAGGAGGAGTTGGAAGCGCGGCGTGCGGACTCGCCGGCGAAAAGACACGAAAATAGTATCAACCAGGATCGTATCACTCCCGGTGGCCCGCGTACGCGGATCACCGCTCTATTAATAGAAAAAGAAAGAAAGAGAGAGCGAGAGCGAGAAAGAAGGGCGAGGGAAGAAATGAGAGGCCTTAAACCGGGGCGGGCACGACGCCCGGAGCCGGGGGCTGATGTCCGGTACGCCGACGACTTCGCGGACCTCAGAGCGGCTCAGGCTGTCGCGGACTCCACATTCCACCGGGACAAGCTCCTCCTGTGCGTGTGCGTGTCTTCTCTTTCTCTCTCTCTCTCTCTTTCTCATCCCTCTGCGGAGTGTCGCGGGACTTCATCATCTCTCTCTTTCTCTCTCTCTCTCTCTTCTCCCTCGCGGTTTCACCCGGCTGGGCCACCCCCGTGAAAGCTATCTACACGCGCGCGTATACGTCCAACGTACACGCGCTCGCGCACGCACACACACGCGCGCGCGCACTAGCACGCCCGCACTCGTCCACACGCATTGACACCACCCCGAGTGTAAGTTCAACATTTTTCATTCTCTGCTCAATAATCTCATACCGATTGTGATTTCTCTCTTACCCTCTCTTTCTTTCTTTTTTTCTTCTTTTCTTCTTTTCCGTCGTTTCTTATCGGGTACGGAAGGCGCACGTCCTTCGCCTTCTCTCTGTTTTAGCTCTCGTTCCGAAAAACGTTCGCGATGAACTACGTGATGACCTTTCCGCGATGTGTGAACTGTTGTGAATGTGAAAACGATGTGATACGATACGAAATAATTAACGATCGAGAAAACCTCGGTGGAAATCCCCTCGCTCCTGCAATATATTTATATTGCTGAAGAAGATTGACCCACGACGAAACGTCTTGGGGGACGAATGGACGATTTAGCCGAAGTTCCGAGGCTCGATCACGCGATCCATCTTCCGAGGAGGATCAGTGGACCACGTAAAATTACTTAAAAGCATCTTTTCATTTCAATGTACGGAAAGGGAAAGTGAGCGATGTTCCTCGGCCAGTGAAAATCTCGTGAATGCGTAGCCGCGTCCGCTCGAAGCGCGGACTCGATCTACTCGTCCATCGGGGAGAATTGGCGCGTATCAGTGGAAAAATTTCTGACCTTCGGTGCGACGGACGTGCGAGTGAATGATTATGCGAAAAAATTGATTGATGTAAGATCGTGTAATGCGTTTGTTATTCGCGCTCGGCATTTTTTTGGCATAGATTAATGACTCTCGCGCAAACTTTATCCGCGGATTCCTCTCGCGTGTGCGAATCCGAAAAAAACCTTTTCCGAATTATTTATATCTTCGTACGTTTTCTTTTTTATTTATATACTATTTTGTTATATCATTAATATAAAGTGCCGAGAAGAAAACGACAAAGCGATCTCATAAACTTGTAGTAAAACCGGACTGAGGTGTCACTTTCGTGTCGGTCGAAGATTAACAGTTTTGTACTTTGACCTCGACTTATTTGGCAACTGCGACAAGTAAATTAACAACGACGAGTTTATATGATTTAATTGTCGCGTTACGGCAATATTCCGACGGACTCGCGTAGATATCACGCGAACATTTTCGCGGACGTTCAAGATATTTCGCCTCCCGTTCGTCGTCTAGGGTTACGAACGCCGCGGTTTCGACGTTCGCCGTCCGCGTAAAGAAGGCAAGGAAAGGAGAGCGAAACGAGCGTGTTTGTACCTCTCTAAAATTAGAGCAACGTGGCAGAGAAGGGGACGGGCTCCTTATAGAGCTTGTGCGCGACGCCGGAGCTTGCGGCCAGGGTTAGCAAACTGGCATTTTCTCTTTCTCGCCTCGAAGTATCGGATTACTTCGGGAACGTCGTCGGTGCGCGCCGTCCGGCCCATTCAGCTTCGGCTTTCCTCCGGGTGCCCCTCTTCCACGGAAGGTTCGGCCAAGCGCGAGCATTTTTGTACATCCGCGCCCCGTTCGTGCCCCCCCGTGCCCCGTGCCTCTTTTCCCGGGTGCTCCCTGTCTCCCCTTGCCGCTTCCTCTCGCCTGGATCCTTCCGCGACTTCTTCTTCTTCTTCTTCACCCGTAACCGGCGAGGTTTCCAATTTTCCATCCCTTTTTGATCCTCGCTCGTTCATCTCCCGAAATTTATCGCACCGTTGGCACGCGATCTAATCAAGATTGTTCACGCGGAATTGATCGTGACGTGCCCGTCGTCGGAGCTGGTATCAGTATCAAGTTGCACGCATAGTTGAGTTACGAAAGTTGTGATAGAGCTATGTTAAACGTCATGGAGATTTCGCTTCTCGACGATTTCACCGCAAGGATGTCAAAAGTGTTAACGTTACGCGATATAATTTAAATTACGCAATCTTTTTCCTTAGGAGAATAGCGCAGTGCAACTTTCATCGAACAGTGTGATCTAATTAGAGATATTTAACGCGCAAATAAATATACCGTTTGCTTAGTCGCTCTACTGTTTAAAAATATCTCTCTTGCCGTTTTGACTTGGCAAATCAACCTGGTAATCGACGTCTCGTTTTTGTGTTGCAGCGCCTTAAACAGCCGCCAACATGTCTGACGACGAGGAACAATACTCGTAAGTAGCTCCCCTGATCGTTATTATCAAGCCAACATCGATCATAAATTGTCATCCGTTGCTCGCGTTCCGTAATTCTCAATCGCTTATTTTGAAACTGATGCAACTCCAATTTTAGTACAAGTTCTACAAATTCTGATGGGTGCGTAAAAAATTCATGCGCCACGGAAAACCATTTCTCCCTCCTAAGAAAAACAGAAAAGTCAAAATAATTTCAATTTGACTTTCTGTTCTTCTTGGGAACAGATTTTCTCTTCGGAAAGTATAGGATTTGCATAATTTTCAAAATAAACGACCTGTAAAACACGTGATATCGTCACTCTCCGAAATGAGTAGACCGAAATGCGAGAGAGAAGGCGCCGAGGTACGCGCCAATGATTTCCAGACTCGACAAATCGCGGATCTTTGCCGATGCCGAGGCGGTATTAGGCAAGATCGTGGCACGCTCGCTGAACGTTGATCACGATATCGTATACGAACCCGAAAGTGCGAGCAAAGTTCAAATATCACGCCCACGTAAGGTTAAACAGATCTGTGGCATCGTCGTGTTCTAAATGTTTCACACATTTGTCGTCTAACTTTTGTCGTCTCGGTGCCCGCCCCAGCTGCGTGCGTCACGTCCCAATCGCACCCACGCACGAACCCCTTAATTAGCACTCAAAGCGAGACTCGGATACTTCAGTCAACTCCTTAATTGTCGCTCGATGACATTTTCACATGCTTGCATAATTATTATTATTTTTTTTTCTTAGATGCTTTTCGTGTCTTGCATTACCGCCTCAAACTTTCTAAAGCAACACTGTGTAAAATAAAATTCTACATATTTTCTCATTAAATTAAGTACTTAACTTTATTATTTGTTATTATAGAAACGTTTTGAGAAAATTTGCTTTTAGCTCGAAATAACCAAAAGACGAAGTAAATAAATCGGTCGAGTCTAGACACATCTAAGATAAGAATATAAAAACTTAAATTCAATCACTTGCATTTATCAGCACAGTCGGATTGCAAATTCATTGCCGTTTTACGAAGCAAAGTAAATTCGCGTAATGACATACATATATACTGACAGAAATCAATCTGTGTGATAGAAAATAAGCGAGAGTTTGAAGCAACCCTAAAAAGACCCTAACTCTTTGAGAGCGATACCCCCCCCCCCCCCGTGAATGTCCTCCCCTCCCCGCGTTTGTTTCACGTTCGAACGCCCCGACCGCCAATGTTGTTTCCGCCCTGACTAAACTGGACTTTTTTCCGTTTTCTCTTTTGCAGCAGCGAGGAGGAAGTCGAGGAAGTGTAAGTGTTCACTTTCGTTAAATGTTTCCCCGATTACGCTCCCCGGTATCTTTCTAACATACGAATTGTTACGTTTTCTCATTTCAGGAAGTAAGTTTCTGAGGCTTGTAACGTGCGCTGTGGTAGCTACTGCGAAGACGCGATTCCATTTCGATCTCGCGATTAAAGAAGCCGCGCGAGTCTCTCGATTAGTTCGCGGAGTGATAGATCGTTCGCCAAAATTCGAATTAGCTGACAGATCCGATTAATTTCTTTCTTTCTTTTTTACTTTGCGAAGATAATGCATATTCGTAAAGATATGGCGTTTCACGCGCGGGATCCGGCGAGATTTTGTCGAGAAAGATTTATCGAGATCCATAAAGCAAGACCGGAGTTACTCTAAATCTCTATCTTTCTCTCTCTCTCTCTCTCTCTCTCTCTCTCTCTCTCTCTCTCTCTCTTTCTCTCTCTCTCTCCTTTTCTCTTTTTCTTGGAAATGTCGTTATATCGTCGGTGTCGGTGCTCTCCTTTCGTAGAACTAGAACGTCGAGTTAGATTAAAGCTAACGAACGCCCAACGAGCGCGCACGATGGAATCGATAGCGGAGAAGAGCGTAGATGAAGAATAATAGCTTTCCGAAGTCTCGTTTTGCGCCGCGCAACGCGCAACAGATTTCTCTTGCCGATTGTGATTTATGAACTCCGTTCTTCTTCTTTCTTTTTGTTTTGTTTATTCACTCCCTGTCTCTCTCTCTCTCTCTGTCTGTGTGTATCTCCACATACAACACACAAAACCAACCAACCAACCAACCAACCAACCAATCAACCAATCAATCAAACCAACCGTCACTCGACCATCGACCGATCGGCTAATCGACCCGCGCGGTACGATACAAAATATGTCAAAATCGAAGGCAGCCGGAGAAGAAGACCGAGTAAGTTTTGCACACGACAAATATGAACGTCTCTCTCTTTCTCTCTCTTTCTATCTCTCTTTTTTTTTGACGGCCAATAAATGGTGTACGTTCACGCGCTGTCGTCAGTGTCGTTTATTTTTTTTTCTTCCCCGCTGTCTAATCGCTGTCTTGTTGTCTTTGTTGTCTCGGTGTAGTCTTTAATTGTTCGTTCGTTCTCTGTTTTATACTCTCTCTCTTTCTCTCTCTTTGTCTTCATCATCTCACACGCGTTGTGCCGCCGCAGTCGTTTACTTTTGCATAGAATTTTTTTTGTAACAAAACACTTGCTGGCTCTTTTTCTATCTGTCTACCTATCTTTCTCCTTTTCCCTTTATTTCTCTTTTTCCCTGTCTCTTTCTCTTTCTTTATTTTTCTTCTCTCGTCGAATTGTTATACACACGAAAGAAGAACGTCGCTCTGTCAAAATACTTCTAATGTTTAATTCATCGGAATTTGGTTTGCCGAAGGACGACGAAAAACGCTTTTTCAGTGACGTTCTTCTTTTTGGTAACATTGTCTGAAAAAGAATTGACGCTGATGTGTCCATTCTCTGCGCCTCTCTGTTTCTACTTCAATTCTTTTGTAAAGTACAATACATTCTGCCGCCACCGGTGTATTCGCTGTCTTCTCAACGTTTGTCTTGTGTCGCTGTTCTGCGTCGATGGATTAAACAAAATGATAATAATTATAAAAAAAAAGAGAAAACAAACAGCAATGCTATCGCGCTTTTCTATGTATCACGGACGACTGTATACACACGCACACATGTATACGTATCTCAAGTATGAGAGACCACACATGGACCGTACAATACGCATACGTCGAGACCTCTCACAGAAGCGATGAGATTTTGACGAGATGCAGTTGCAAAAGTATATATATATACACGTTTCACCCCGCATTTTATTTCTCCAAGCCTTATCTTTGTCCTCGTCGTGTCTGTCGACTGTATATCTGTCGCCTAATATCAGCCTCTGTTATCCGCATTATTATGGCAAATGGGCAACGAAACGTTTCTTTCTTTTTTTTTGCAAAAGCGCTACGAGATCCCCGTTGAAGAGAAAGTAACGACGAGCCGCTTAATTGTTGAAAGCAAGCGACGCATACCGATTTACTCGCTCGCAATGAGTGTCGGAACGACCTCAGTCTCTGCAATAAAAAAAAAAACAAAGAGAACCGTGCAAATCAATCGATCGAGCGGTCGGATTTAGTTTGCACGGAAAAAAAAAGGCAGGAAAGCGCAAGTTGGAGACGAGCGCGATACCGATTTTTATAATTTACGTGCAGCTTTGTGCAGTCCTACGTAAGCAACGACCAATTACACGACGTTATATTAATGAATCTGTACTTTCTTTTTTTTATAGGGGTAGGGCGTCCCAAAAGTAAGTTGAATATATCGAGGTGTTTACACGTCAATAATATATCTTCCCTGTTCTCTTCGGCCGCTCTCTCACATCCCCCTCCCCCGTCCGGTTTTTCCGACGTCGATTAAATTCGTTTTTCTTAATCCCTTTAGAGAGGAGATATTTTTTTTCTCAATTTTCGAAATGCAGAAGGATAAATTGTTTTTTACTGGCACACGAAGTTTGCGATAAATCGGGGCGAAAGATCGGTAAGATATTTCCAAGTTCCGTTCTCAAGAAGATACGTGTAACGCGTCCCTTCGAGGAGCTATTGTAAACGCAATTTGCCGGTCTTCCGCCTTTATTGTAAATCGCGTGTGATTGAGAAAGCGCGATGAATCTTCACCTCTCTGTCTCTAAAGACACCGGGAGCGTAAAATTACAAAATTAACGATTGCTGGACCGACGTTGGTGAAACCGGTCGCCAGACCCTTGGATTTTTCGTCACGGCAGGAATGAGATCGCAGAAGAGACCGCGGCTTCGGCGTTACGGTCGCGTTGCGCGCTGTAGTGAATTCGCCAATTTCTATCTATATCGCCGGAGAGAGAATCTTGTTTACAGATACGGGACGGATAACGCGATCGTTGGCCTGTGTGTAGCGCGCGACGGCGAATAATAATAGGGATATATTTATCGAAGGTAACGGCAGGCGCGACCGGCGCGCGGCGGTACGTCGTCGCAGGCGTTCGTGAATATTCCATCGCGATTGCATAACGTTAACGCGCGACGATACTTGAGCCGTTTGGGAGCCCGCCAGCCGTCTCATAAATATATGCACAATAACGTAACACAGTTTATTCTGAGACCGACGTCTGCTCAAAATGTATCACGCCCCGGCGCCGACGTGATCTTATTAACGGGCCGGTCCGTTCGATACATAATGCAGCATATCTGCACTGCGGCGTTAATCTTGCGAGCTCGATACGAATTTCTCCATTTCGACCGTGTAGAATTATGTGACCCAACTATATGTAAAGCCAGGGGTATATCCGCAGCATTTATTGTCGCATTGAAATTGCATAAACGCAAATGCCGAATCTTGCGAGAAGATCGCGAGATGTGCATTTGCGTTTTTTTGCTCAAAAGTCAAATTGTAGTCGCGAACGATTACTCTGGATTTCAATCCTGTCGATGACGTCTAATCATTCGTTGTCAGTGTTCGAGGCCCCCACCCCCCCCTCTTTATGTTTCCCTCGTACTTTATATCTCTTTCGCACCCCCCCGCGTGTTTTACGTTTTGTCTCTCTGATTAATTAACGAATTAACGAGTTGTACATAATCACGTGTCTTGTTCGAGTTTACGTCAAAGCGATGTGTCACACGTCCTTGTATCTCAAGGCTCGTTATTTTGTCCGATCCCCTATATTAATTTATATTGACTTTGCGCCATAATTGAACGACTCGCAAGCAATAATTGCAATATACCCACGCCCGCAGATCCCATGAATAAGCGGTTCTTACATCCCCGATGACATCTTCCACGATGTAAATTATGAAAAAAAAAAAAAAAAATATCCCCCCAAAAAATTCAATAGAACGCTTTAAGAGACCCGGGGGGAAGGAAAGCCGAAATCCGATGACGATTGCAGTATATTCTCCCCTTCTCGTCGATTTATCTTTCGGGACACGAGTCCCACGTGTCCCCGTGAATTTTCACGGATTGACCTCCAACTCGGTCTGGAAAAAAATCGAGCGAAATTATCCGTTAAATCCGTTTGCAAACAATTTTAAGCCTATAACGCTCACAATTGTCATCCCTCCCCCCCTCCCAAAGCGTATCTCCGATGCGCCGTCATCATTCCCCATTTCCAATATCTCTTCTGGTCATTTACGAATCCACGGTCCTTACGACTGAGATAACTCCATCCCAAGACAGTCATGGGATTCCTCGCTATACTCTCATTAATGCCTTCTCCCGTGATTCGCTGCGGTGCGCACTTTGGTTTCTTCTTTCTTATATATGCTTGCACATTATCGCCTTTTACTACTTGCCTCTTTTCTTTCCTCTTCTCTTGTCTGTCTCTCTTTCTCTCTTTTTTCGTTCTTTCACATGTCGCCTCTGCCACCTCTCCTCTCTGTCCCGCTCTGTTTCTCTCTGACTTTTCTATTTATCCGACCGTGCATCTATCTATCTGTCTGTCTGTTCCGCCCATGTGTTGTCTGTGTGTGTATACGTGCGACGAGCGGCATTGAATAAAATATGCACTACGGGAGAGAATGGATGGAGTTGTAATAAAGTAGTGGAGATATGGACGTGAGAATCGCGTATGGAGTTCTGGGGGATCTTGCGAGATCTTCCAGAGAGCGGGCTCAACCGTCGTGATTTAAAGAGAGTTACTTTTGTTTTCACTCCGGCCTCCTTCAGGGAATCTGGCGAGAATATCGAGTTTATGAAGGTGAGTGCTGGCTGCTCGTAAATAAAACATTATGCGAGTGCCCAAATTCCCCCGTGCGTTCGTATAGCACCTTCGTCGTAAAAATACCTTTTGCGGATAAACAGAATGTATATCAGTAACCCCGTTCTCTATCTATCGATCGCATTGGGAATCACGTTGGGCTCTAGCACGATTGTTGAGAGAAACATATCGAATACGCGTTACGACTAAAATCCGTTAAAAATTCAGAGGCAAGAACAGAAAAGAAGCGACCTCGACGAACAGCTCAAAGAATACATAGCAGAATGGCGAAAGCAGAGGGCCAAGGAGGAAGACGAGTTGAAGAGACTAAAGGTACAACTTGTCCTTACTTGTCCCCGGATTCTTCTTGATCAATATTTATTTGTATTTAATATTGCTGAACTATGCTGTATTAGGAGAAACAAGCGAAACGGAAGGTAACCCGCGCGGACGAGGAGAAGAGATTGGCCCAGAAGAAGAAGGAAGAGGAGGAACGTCGCCAACGTGAAATTGGTAATTGCACTTATATCCGTCTCTGTATTCTCCTCTAAACAGAATCTGGAAACTTAAAGTTCTCTACATTTTTCAGAGGAGAAGAAACAACGTGACATCGAAGAGAAGAGACGGTAGGTATTTATATAACATATCATTGATACGAAATGCCTCTCGTAATGTATTCAAGAATTATAAGAAATAGAAATGTCATTTTACATGAAAAATTCTGTATGAATATCGGTTCTTTTCTAAATAGTTGAATCTCTGGTTCTGAAACAAGAAATAAATTAAATAAAGAAAATACAAGAAAATTTTCTTTGATATAAAATGTCGATAAACAAAAAAGAGCCAATTAGTTGTCAATATATAAAAATTTATGTCGCGAGCGATTAAATAACAATTAATTAAGCAAGAATGTTAAATTACTTTTATCACTGACGAGCGCAAAAGATTTTGCAATAATAAATTTATTGATTTATGTTACGTAACATTTTTTGACATAAGTATTTGACATTCGTGTTATATGAACCGTTATTTGCGATGTAAATGTTCCATACACATCCACAACTGTGATTCTAATTTGCCTTTCTCCATCTATAGAAAAATAAATTGTTTAAGATCAAATGAATTAGTTTATATTTTATTTTGTTTTTCTCCGGTTCAATTAATATTAAACTTGTAAATTTATTATGCATTAATTAAATTGATCATTGGTAGTTACGTAACTACTTGAATACGGAGTAGAAGAACACAGTAGGATCTATTGTGCTTTATATTTTTTTTTATTAAAAAATGATTTTTCCATCCAATTAAGGGAGTGCTTTCGTTAAAACATTTTTTATATGCATTGTGTAATATAATGTGTTGTTTTATATTTGCTTGCTATAACTTTAGGCGCCTGGAGGAATCGGAAAAGAAACGCCAGGCAATGATGCAAGCGATGAAAGACGCAAGTAAAGTAAAGGGTCCAAACTTTACCATCACCAAGAAGGGTCTTGAGGTGAGTATACTCTCTTTACTGTAAGCAGCAATTGCGTATTCTCTGTAACCGGTATCTTTTCTCTTCTTTTCTGTGAATTTAGGGTAATCTTTCATCAGCGCAACTTGAGCGTAACAAGACGAAAGAGCAGCTCGAGGAAGAGAAGAAGATCTCCCTTAGCATTCGCATCAAGCCCTTGGAAATCGAAGGTCTGTCCATTGACAAGCTCCGTACTAAGGCTACCGAATTGTGGGAGACCATAGTCAAACTTGAAACTGAAAAGTACGATCTGGAGGAGCGACAAAAGCGTCAGGATTATGATGTGAGCTTTTACGATTTATACGATTCTAAAAATACTGAGAATTTTTTCGCCCTATTTGAACAACATTTTTATCGCATTTCTAACAAAATTTAAATTGTCGTTATTTTTTGAAGAATTGCCTGTTTGTCATGCTAGATTTTAATTGTATAGTTTGCAATTGTGTAGAAATGGTGGTTTTAATTAGCGAAAGATTGCATAAGAAGAAATTTATTTATATACAATAATTTTATATACCATATAAGTGTCATAAAAATAAAAAGAAAGAAAAAGAAGTATATACATATTGACCATTTCCGCTTGATAAATAAGTTACTCGGACACGAGTTTAATTATAGTCCGTGTTGTTTTCTGGCCGTATTGATAAATCGATATTGCCCTTTTATCGTAGCTTAAAGAGCTGAAGGAACGTCAGAAGCAACAACTGAGGCACAAAGCCTTGAAGAAAGGCCTCGATCCTGAGGCTTTAACCGGCAAATATCCCGTACGTAATCACGTATCGTATCGCGCGGAAAAAGGAAAATACAAGGAAGAAGCTTTGTTAATCGAATCGATCTTTTACAGCCGAAAATTCAAGTTGCCTCGAAGTACGAACGTCGCGTTGATACCAGGTCCTACGACGACAAGAAGAAACTTTTTGAAGGCGTAAGTGTAACCCTTCTAACTTATTCGACACATTAAAATTCATTCCCTACTCTCAGAATACGAGGTCAAGCCCATAATTCGCTCACTTTGCGACATGATCACGATGAATTTTTTACATTCGAACACTCTACCACTGCCAGATATGAAGACACTACATGTACACGTACGTAAAAAGTATAGGAACTCGTCCCCGTGACATAACGCACAAATAAACGGACAAATATCGGACACGATTAGGAATGAACTTAATCTATATATGTATATATATAAAGATAGCGATTAGTGAGCATATTATCGATTGAATCGCAGGGCTATGACACGCTTTTAGCGGAGACCAACGAGAAAACGTGGAAACAGAGAACAGAACAATTTATGAAGCGTACCAAAAGTGAGTCCAACCGTGATCTCTCTGTCACTGTCGCCCACCTCCCCCCTTGCTTGCCTTGCTGATTTGTATCTCCGAAATCTCACGGACGACCGTGTTTCTAATTTATGTATACTTGTTCCTTGTTCTCGTTGACTAAACGACGGTCGAGATGGCTGCCCATGCAGCCATGTTATTGCTGTGTTCGTGTTGTCTCGATGGTGTACATAAAAGCACGATGTACCAAATTTGTGCTCACACATACACACACACCGATGGCGATTTTTTCTCACGTGCACTGCCCAGGAGAGATGCGACAGCAGTCACCAATCACGAAAATAATCTCTATAATAACTCTGTCGGCGTTTGCAAATCTGTTCACGTCACTTCACGTTCCGAAAGTACAAGTTCCTCGGTACCCCCCCCCTTGCTCGACAGTTAAGGACGGATGTTTGATTTATCCTCATTTCCTGAAATCCGCGCGAAATCCGAGAATTCACTCTTCGTATGTCAGAAAACGAGCGTCGAAGATCGTAGCTCAGACTGGAAGACGGAATACGGTCGTGAAAATAGATGACCTTTGTGACGTTAATTCTGTCGATCGTGATTGTGTCAGCCCTAACTTCGCCACGGGGAGATTTGTACGACCCAGGGAAAGCAACAGTACGGAATAAGAGAGGGTTTTCCCAGGCGAAAGAAATCCCGATGTGTGAGAGTAACCCCTAGCATGCCATTCTGTCCGTTGATGTTTCAGGGTCTGAACGAACAGCTGAAGGAGACCATGGAGAAGCAGTGGACCCAACAGAAGGAACAGTTCATGGGTCGCCAGAAGAGTATGTATGAATTCCGCGTTCGAGGCTTCGAGCCAGCACCGGAACCAACAGCTTCGAAGGAGCTTCCGGTGCTCCTCGAGACGTCGAAGCAACGAACGTACTTATGGGGAAAGATTCGAGAAAAAAAATCCTATATTCCTTTAATAAATATAATGATAAATCGATTTGACGTTGTTACGGTTATCCAACAATTAATACGAAATTTATTCCGAAACGATAAGACACATTTCTGCTTTAATTAACATCTCGAAAATCCGTTTTGAGAAAGTTCCTCCGCACTTGTTTTTGTCATTTAGCCTCGTGGAATTCTAATCCAGTATACTTAGCAGGTATGATCGTATTTCGCGTTCTTGTCCCAATTGTGCAATATTAATCCGTCGCTTTCCGTGAATAACAGCGAAGTTACCTAAGTGGTTCGGTGAGAGACCGGGCAAGAAGGCTGGCGATCCCGAATCACCGGAGGGCGAGGAAGACGTGAAGGCCGCCGTCGACGACGATCTCGAGGAGCCGCAATTTGACGAAGAAGAGGAGGAGGAAGCGAAGGAGGAGGGCGACGAGGAGGAAGAGGAGGAAGAGGAAGAGGAGGAGGAGGAGGAGGAGGAAGAGGAGGAAGAGGAGGAGGAGGAGGAAGAGGAGGAATAAACCTTCTGGTCCTTCGCTTCGGCGCGTGCACGGATGTTAAGGGAAAGCGTATCTGAAAAATTTCAAAAAATGATCGTTGCACAGTCTCGTTAACACTTTTCGAACAAAGATCGAGCGCAGTCAGTGGCCAAGTCGGGGTAGAAATGCCTACAAGGGCGACGTTTCTTCCATTTACTTCCGGAAACTGTCGGGCTGCTCTTTGAGATTCAAACGTCGAAGTGGACGAGGCGAACGACGCGGATGTTGCTTCTGTAGTAAATCACTCTACTACCGCTACTGTCACTTGTACGGCCACTACTGCTACTCTACTATTATCTATTATTAAACTACTACTACTCCTATTGTTACTATTGCTACTACTACTACTTCTCTTACTATTATTACTATTATTATTATTATTATTATACTGTACAAATGCAGGCACACAAATTATTAAAATAAAACGATTTATCATATAAAATCCGTCGTGCACATGTGCCATCTTCTACATCATCCCGTGGCAATCCAGTAATATCCTTAGAAGAAGACAAATATATTAAATATTAAAGTAAAAGCATTTATTCAGAAGGAAAATAATTATTTGATTATTCTCCAAGTACTCTTATCGTTAGAAGAAGGAAAATATATTAAATATTAAAGTCAAAGCTTTATTCAGAAGAAAAATGATTTGATTATTTTCAAAGTCAAGATACTTTTCTCTAGGTACATCTATCTCTGATATTAAGATATTCGACCTCGAAGCTCGAAGCGAAAATGTATTATTACGCCATACATGCTTCCCGATAGGTCTTATCGTAGAACTGTTGCCCTTGGCTATACGGAAGCACTGACTCGCTTGCGGTTTTGCTTATCGATACAAGATATACAGGAGCATTTTGCCGACGACGTAACGGATACGTTGACGATACAAAGCATGCACTCATGTCGAGTGTGGTTTTAACGAAAGGAAGCTCCGAGGGCGAGTCGAGTATCTCATTACAGACTTACTTAGCCATTTTGCGAGTAGCATATCAGTGCGAGATGTTGATAACAGTTACGTAAAACATCGATGCTTCCGTCATCATCTAACGCAATGTAAGTTTAAAAGGTTCAATAAATTCCGGCTTGCCGCTTGCCGCATCTGTCGCATTATCGATACGAATTGACGAATCTTATACACTTTTCACATATTTCAAAACGCAAAATACTTGCAGGCGGACGTTAAATCATATCGGCAGCAAGTGAGAAAGTTGCAACAATTTGGAAAGTTTTACATTGTAAATTTTCAATTTTAAAACGCAATTAATCTAAAATCACAAGTTTACCGTCGAGTTTAGTTTTCTCGAGAGATCTGACTCGTATCGCATCCTCGTGACAAACGCACCGCTCAAAGAGTCATTGTTTGTCCCGCTCGAGCCGAGAGGTTCGCTATGTTCGCTACTTTCGCGTAAGTAGAAATAGTCTCTCGGAAATAGCGGCGACGCGACGCGTGCGAAGGAGCCAGAGCGCGGTGCCAGAAAAGAGAAAAAAAGACGCGCCATCGGAAATAGATTCTCGCGCGCGGGCCCGTCCGACAACCTCGCAGGACTGCATCGCGTGTCTAAAGCCCGGTCTACATATAGGCAGTTCGCTAAATGCAAGACACACGCACAGTCTACATGTCAATCTAATCTCTATATACACAGAGAAGTGTGGCCTATGTAGACCGGGCTTAACGGAGGACGGACGTCACGACGACGAGATCCGCCGCGATTAGAATCACAAGTGACTTCGCAGCTCGCGGATGAGAACAATGGTATGGTGGCGCGAGGACAGGATGAGACGAATGACGCGCTAGCGATAGAGTCGACCCGCCACTCCCGCCAGTGGTCCTGCCCGATGATTAATTGCTCGCTCGACCAGGCGCAGCTAAGTCCGCTCAAGTTGCGGCAGTTAGGAAATAGTCGTCACGCCGCACTAACGACCCGTTACTTGAGAAGTTTATTCTGGAAAGGGGGAATAGAGAGGGAAGAGGGCGAACGAGTAATTGCGACGATTTATGGGAGAAACGGGTCAAAACCATGTAAAAAGCAAAATCAAAGATTGGAGAGAATCCAACGCGTTCAAAAAGCGAGGAAATAAGTTTGAAGGTCCATTTACACGCGTACATTTTTTACTTCTCAATTTCGAATTAATCCCTAAAGTTTAGCCTTGATCGTAGCGCGCGTCGTTTAGAGTCACTCATCGCTTCGTTCGCGAGGAAGCAGCCTCGATCGCCTCGACGGTCGCTCGAGCCCATCGCTAGCGACGTATCGTCATTTCCCTCTGGCTTGACCACCGTCCTCTTCTTTCGTCTGGACCCTCTTTCCACGTTCGTTACACTTCGCTTCGTCGCGAGCCTCTGGTCGTCTCGGTCACAACTATTTATAATGGCAGGCCGCGGAGTGCGTCCTCCTCGGGATCTTCGCCGCGGTCCTACCGCGGTCCGGAGAACGTTCATCCTTGAGTGTACGAGCGGTATCACCGGGAGCGTCCGTCTAGCTGTGGTCTCGCGAAATTTCACGGTCACCCGATCGCCGTCGGTCGAGGTATAATAACGGGACAGTCAACCTTCGGCTCGGCGTTGCGTCGCGCGGCGTTTCAACAAAGTAGTGTTAACTGGGGAGAGTCGTCGCGTCAAACGTCGTCGTAGGCGCTAACGAATACCTAGTGCCGTCGAGGGTTTTTCCTTTGGAATTTTTTTCAGACCGGAGAACGGTCAATCGAGATCCCGTTATGTCGAACCGATCGAGATAACAAGGCGGACGACAGTCGTTCCCGTCCCGACGTCCCGCTTGTTTCCGCATTTCTCCGCGTGTTGACGAGGTATATTGACTTTATACTAATAACTAACAAATCGTCGTCGAGTATCGACGATACTCTCGTTGGAGTGCACGTCTTCCGAAGAGGTTTTGATTACTGATCGCGGATCTGCGAATCCCGATCGAGAGTGTCAGTGATTAAGTGATCACCTAGGTGGATTCGATCACTTTTGGAGTGGCCGAAGTTATCAATAAGAATAGACCTCATTTTCGTGATTACACACTCCGATTGCGAATCACATTCTGTGTCAACGAAGCTGAGTTGTCACAGAGCGTCGATGTAGATACTCGTTAATTGTTCCGACCGATTGCGCCGGCATTGCTCGAAATAAGATGCGAGCGCGAGTCGGCGCGAGCGATCGACTCACGTGCGCGTACACCTGACGATCCATCACGGACGATCGATTGCCGATCGCCGTCGGATCCGTCGCGCGACTATGCAAGTGTTCGTAGCTGACGGTCGCGTCTTCGCGAGAACATATCGCTCATTGTGACGTCGATCGCGAGGCGGTTACGCGATCCCTCACCTACGCGGTGCCGGCTATGCCGGTCACGAAGACGGGAAACGGAGGAACGCCGGCGTGCTGCTGACCGCGGCCCGCCGCTACGGGAGAGCCGCTTTTTCAATGAGGTAAGCAACAATCGACCTCGTTTTCTGCAGGAAGAGATCGATACAACCCAATCGGCCTTTACTCACGGCATAACTGGCACAAGATTGAGATGCGCAGGAATATAAGTACGGCTGCACCGAGATTTGACGCAGCGAGATATATCTCTCGGCGCTCTCCGTTCACGATCGAGTTATCAGTATGAATGGATAGATAAGCTTACGGAAGATTAAGATAAAGCTGGCGAGTTTTATAGGTGCATAAATAAATGTATAAGTTGAATCTCCAGCGTCGATATAAGTACCGCGTACCGCGAAGGAAACAAAATTAAATAAAAACTTCACATTTCAACATGTCCTTATCCTAGATATGGTTTTTGTTTAGAACTAGGTTTTAGTGTTATCTGTTACTTTTAAATGGAATAGTAGATATATAGAGGAAAAAGAGTAGATAGAGAAAAAAGAGTAGATAAAGGAAAAACGAGGCTACGGCGTTCAACAGCAACGGAGCTGCAAAAATGATTAAAAACCGTCGATCAATATCTGTTCGAATTCCAGTCTGTGTAACACAAAGCTGAATTAAATTAAATTAATACAATGCATTGAGATGCAATCGCGTACTCGAGAGCAATGTATATTAAAAATAATTTAATTATAGACTTTTTGTAAACTACATTAATTCAGATTTCCTCGCTTGTTTTTCTTTGGCGTCACTATATTTTTCATCGCGCACCCGCGTGACTTAATAATACGCCACGTATGGATAAAACGATAATCCCATTATGGCATTATGGAAAATAGAATTGCGACTTTGCGAGTCTTCGGAAGCCGTAATATGCTCCGACGACATCCCGAATTGTTTCACGTAAGTCAGTCATGAGAGATCGAGTGTGATGGAACCGCAGAACTTGATCAAGCGAACGTTTCTCCGTCGCTTTGCTGACAGAGAGCACGTTGGGGAAGATCTCTTTCGTCGTTCTTTCGTTTAATTTCCGGAGTTTTGTAATTGGATTTATTCGATACGCGAAGATATGGCGGAAGAGGGGGAGGAGAGCAAACAGGAGGCGGAGAGATGCGAAGAGGACGACACGATCGAAGAAGGGTGAGGATAGCGAATATGTTTCATGACGTAATATATCTCATACGTAAAGAGTGACACATTCGTTTCGGCGCACAAACTATATCCTAAATTGTACATACATGCCGGACGAAAAGAAACGGCAAGGAGATCATATTTTTTGCTGCTTGATATAATCCCTTTTATCGCCGACGAAGATATATCTGTTTCCGAGTAGTTTCCGTAGCTATAAATAAACTCTCTCTAGTCTCTACGGATACGTTTTTATTGGTTTATAGACAGCGGGGAGTCGCGTTCTTCTTCTTTAGACGAACTCCTACCGGAGCGATTCTTTGCCTAAGGTATAACAATAAACGTTTCCTTTAAGTGAAGGTAACGGAGACGAGAGTGAAAAGAAAATGTAACTAAACCCCGAAAGGGGCTCTCCTCGCGAATTAAAACTTACATCATATTACAAGCAGCAAAACCACGTGAACGCGAAACCGGTTACTGCCCGCCGCATTGTGATACAGCATCGTTCATTATTTTCGTTAACAACGACGATAGCGCGTACGGCACTCGTCGACGAGGCCGAAAAAGCACGATGAACTGTTAGCAACTCGATTCACGGCCGCGATATAATTTGCGATTTGCCCAACCGATTTCGATGCCTAGTTAATAAACTCCTGGTAAGACGAGCGCGCGAGCAGCTCTCGTTCGTAATGCGGTTCGTGAATGGGATTGTAGCTCTCGCTCTCACTGTCATCATAGAAGGACAAACCCGTGGCAAAACACGAAGGAGACGGTGCCTAGACCGTAATCCGGTCTCGATTGTTTTCGGTCGCGGACGCGCGTTTTGTATTACGCGAGCAAAGTTTTAAGAGTGCAGTCGCCGGGTAAACGTGTGTATTTTCGTGCACGAGGTACGTGTAACGAGGTACGGTAGTTAAGCCTGAATTAGGCATGCTGGAGAACAATGGGCAATTAAATTGTGCGAGGAGGGAGAGAAAATATTTGCTTAATGCGTCATACCGAAAGATATAGCAACGTTTTGCATAATAGAGATGTCAAGAGGAAAGAAAGATATTTACAATATAATTTTACTTTTTAACCGACGATATGTATCGACGATAGTTCTTTTGACAACCTGAACTACTAGATTTTTTTGTCAAAATTTCGAAAGAGTTATTGTTAATGTTGACGAACGCGTTATTAACGGCGATTTTGTTAAATTGTTTTTTATTCAGATTTTGAAGAAGTTTGCTTAAGAGATTGCTAAATTATGTATATTTATATATATTTCTTAAATTATAGTTTATAAATTTGCAGTTTATCACTCTCTGCTGCTTATAAGACAAGGATTATCGGCTATAATTCAGCAGCAATTAAATAAAAGATAGAGATTTTCCAATGAGCTCGTTACAGCGCTCATTAAAGTTATATTAGAGACCTATAATGAATATGAGACACGGAGGCGTCTTTTTTGCAGCGTTCTCTTATTCGTCTTATACGTTTCGTAACGTGAGTTAATTGCGGAAGTGATCTTGAAAAATAACCCGTTATTAAACGCCGCGCGTCTTACGAAACCGACAGTATTACACTTTTGTTGGGTCGTTCGTCTCCCACGGAATCGGATATCGCGCATCATATAACGCGATGATTAGAAGCTAATTCGCTGGACGTTACGAGTATACAAATGTATTTCGTTCAGAAATACAAGAATGATACGAGTGACATCAACGACGACGGCTGGCAGCTGGAACTCGTGGGTGATATACTGGTCGGTGATGTACGTACGCTCGTTGCTGGAAAAGTGGCGTACCAGGTGTTATTACGCGGAGATGACATAATTCGCAGTTGCGAAAGAGATTAGCGGGAACGGGAGTGCGGGGGAAGCGACAATCGTGCTACAATTGTTCCCGCAATTGTTTTCTTTCCTTCCTCTCCTCCGTGTCAGTCGCGTGCACCAAGGTGGAAATCGCGTGCGGAGAGACCGATCGCGAGGATGGGCGTCCGTTGGCTGTGTTGCTTGATACCGAAACCATCGGAGACCGGCGAGGTGGTCACGATAAGATTCACGTGAGTTCCCCGGTCCATGTGGATCCGCGACGTTATTCTCTCACGATCAATCTAGAACGGTCATTTTTCGTTGCGACGGAACTTCGTTTACGCGACTGCGATCGCGCGATTTTCTACGCAAAATCTATGATTCAGAAATTACGTTTTCCTTGTTTTATAAGGTGTTGTTACGTGATCGGGACTTGCTAGCCGTTTCGTTAGGCTCATTATAAATAGAACTTGTTACAAGGCGGTAAAAATCTTCCATTAAACTCCACACCTGAACCTTTGACTTGAAACGTTCTCCGTTGAGAGCCTCTTCAAAGATATTAAATTTCGATTGTAAAAGGTTGCACGATTCGCCTCCTTTAGCTTGGAAGGAAAAAAATGCTGACGACTTATAAGGCCGTGACATTCTGTATAAAGCGATTCTCCGCACCGCACGCCACATTTTAACGCGGAAATAACGCTTTCAATCATAGATTTCGTTTCAACTTGAAACTCGAATGTTTCTATCTAGACTAGAAGTAGAGAATTTGTTCGAATGCCGATATGCGAACCTTACTTTACCCCGCCAATATATATATAATGAGTACATTTACACAATCACATACAGATAAGCATAACGCCTGAAGAACACTTCGAATTAATAAACAACACTCCACGGATGATCCGGCTACAAATTCCTTTACACTGAGCTGTCGATCCGGTGTGCCGGTCGGTTCTTTAGCGGGAGAGCGCGTGTCGAAGGTGAGACGGCTATAAGAGAATGGCTGAGAGAATATTCCGTCGCTCGTAGACGTGTTACGCTCTTCCTCGTGTGCTGACCGTATTCCACCATCTGGGCGTTTCTCGTGTGCATTGTAGGTTGCTCGAGCTGGCCCCGAAGCTAGGACAACGGGTGCGTTTCGCGGAGGGCACGAACTTAAGATGCCGCGAAGACCCTATACCGTCCGGTTCGGAGATAAGGTCAGCAGTTATCTAACTACGGAACTTGCGGAGCGATCTCTCTCTTTTTAGACCAAAGATTCAATTATTTGTACAAAAGTGAACGGAAATTAAAAAGATTCAGTTCGATATATATATATATATTTTTTTTTAACAAGATCGCGCGATTTCAAATTAAAGAATCGCATACTTTGACACTTTGATGACACCGGATTGTTATCGACCTGACTGTGTTGCGATGTTTTTAATTTGCAACCTACATCGCACCCGCGTCTCCCCGCGGCAGATACTTTGAGGTCACGTGCCGAACGCGCGAAATCCACCGTGAATACGAGAAGTTATTAACGCAGCGGCGATTCCGGACTGATATTTGAAGACGTCGGAGAGAAAGAGAAGCGTTCGATAGTGGATGTAAATTTTGCTTTGTGATGTTTACTTTACGATAGTTTATTTTATAATGGGAAAGCTATGCGAGTGGAAATGGTACTTGGTTTTCTTTGAAGACGAGAGGGAAAGAGAGAGAGAGAGAGAGAGAGAGTGATTCAAACTATATATCAATAAATCCCTATTAAATTCATATTTTCGAACGAACAAACAAAACGTTACGAAACACGATATTCGTATTATATATCTCGAATATCCAAATAATACAAACGCCATTAACACCGCTCGATGACTACCGGTCTCGTATAGACCCTCTCTCTCTCTCTCTCTATTTCTATCTCTCTCTCTGTTTTTTTTTTACTGTATGAACCTCGATTTCTGGCCAATACGCTTTATATTATTGCGCGCATGATCATGACACCTTTGCGAGAGGTGATCCGTCGCGAAGGGCGCATGAGCGGACCCCGACGATGGGGAGGAACGGAGGAGAATGGGGGCGCACACGTACAGCCGCCCGCGTTCTCTCTCACCCCTTTCGACATCGGTCATCGACGAGCCCTGGCTTGCGTTAGTCCGACCGGCAAACTCGCCGCGCCGCGTCGTGTCGTGTCGTCGTCGCCGTCGCCGTCGCCCAATTTGAGATCGCATCACCATACGTTTGTCTCGCGGGTCGCGAAAAAACGCGACTCGTATGAAGAGAGAACTCGAGAGACCGTTCGGGATGCGTGGACTCCGGAAGGGGCTGCGAGCGAGGAACGAAAAATTCGGAGGGAGAGGACCACGTTGAATTCATCCCTCGCGCGACGAGGCGCTCGGCTCGTGAACGGTGCGTAGTGCTCCTTATTCGAAAGAAACTGCGCTGAAAAAGGAAGAGAGAGAGAGAGAGAAAAAAAAGAGAGCTAGAGAGAGGAGAGAGGGAGAGAAAGGAAGAAAGGAAGAGACGAATCTAGAAAATGACGAGAGTGGAGCGGTGCGCGAGCTTTCGTGGAATGTGCTCTATCATTGATCAAGCGTATGGATCGACCGACGTGGCGAAGGTCGTTCGGAACACCGAACAGCCTCGGTGAATATTCCGTCGACGTGCTCTTAGCATCGAACGATCGTCCGTCCCGAAAGAATTCGTGGAGTTTTGGTCTTCGTTATCGTTGACGTTCGATCGATCGTCGATATTCTCAACGAGGAACGCTTATCATCGACGAGCGCGGAAGCATCTTCAAAGACGGCTCCGGCTGACTGGAACATCCCGTGATGGTGACAATGAGAATCAATCGATCTCCGATCACGGAATTATCGAGGCACGATTTCACCTCGTGCCGCGGCAGTAAGGCTCACGACTTCATCGTATCGGCGACCTCGATTATCACGCGTCACCGTGAAAATAAATTCCGGTGCTGGAAAACTCGATCGATGGTGCCAGTCACTCAAGAGGAGAGAGCCGCGCCGTGAGGGGCGGTAGCGAGGAAAGAAAAGGGGAGATAGAAAGGTAGAGAGAGAGAAACAGAGAGAAAGAGAGAGAGAGAGCGTGTATGTGTGTAAGAGAGAAAGAGAGTGATTGCGAGAGTGGATGCGAGGGTGGACAAACGCAGAAAGCGAGCAAATGACGGATGAAAGTTCGCCCACGTCGATTAATCACCGAGTCGAGTTTGCCGGGATCATTCTCGCCGAATGTAACGAGATAATTTTCATTGTAATTCACGCGCCGCTGGTTGTCGCGCACCTGTCATTTCAACATTTGATATTTCGAGCCGAACACGCGAAGCCTCACGTAAAGCTTCTCGCTGCGATGCTGGAAAATGACCGAGAGCGGTCATTCCGAATTTCGTTCCCACGTAATTTCGAAGCAATCTCGAAATACACGAAAGCGGCGAGCAAATATTTCGAGCAACATCGACTGTCAACGAACCAAAAACGAACCAAAATCGACCATACGTTTCTACACACGCGACTCCAGGTCGCTTTAAAATAAAGCTCTTCATACGTGAAGAGATCGTGCCGGACTTTGAGAAACAGCTGTAAACTCCAGCCTGTATATTTCTCCTGTCCTTCCCTCGTGGCCCGAGTGGTCTCTCGATATTGCTTTTCCATTGCGGTCTGACGTTTGACATCCATTATACAAACAGTTTACGAGTATTTACCTTTGAAAACTCCAGAATTTCAGTGTAACGTTGGCGGCGAAGGTACTTAGAATGGGCTGCAAATCGGCAGCTAAGTCCAAGCCGAAAAAAGAGACGGTCGCATCGTCGTCGTCGTCGTCGTCATCGTCAGCGTTATCCTTCTCGAGATATAATCAGACGACCCAGTCGTCGGTCAAGCGGAAGACGATCCAGGAACAGGGAGCGGAACACGGCGGCAAATCCAGCCTCGGGGACGAGGAAGAGAGCGAGGAAAGCAACACGGCCGCTCGTGTCTCGTCCGAGAAGTTATTTTCGTTGAGGGAGAGCAGCGAAACGTCCGGGATTGCGGACGACAGCATCGCCAGGTAGCTATCAAGCGACGATGCAGAAGTTGCGCTCGACCTTCAAAAGGTCGCGCACTCCAACGGGGGCGGAAATGAAATCCCAATCTAGCCTCGAGGTGCCCAAGCAGATCAGGTCGGCCTCCTTCGACGAGATACAGTTGCAGACGAGGCAGGACCTTACCTCCTCGTCGTCCTCCACGTGTTCCCCGGCGAGATCTCAAGACTCCATACGCGGCAGGAGGGGCTCCTCGACCCTGAAGGTGCCGCAGCTGACCGGTCAGCGTTCCAAGAGCTTCGACGCGTATTCCGGCTCGGCCGCGAGCCAGCAACTCCCGGCAGGTGGAATCGAGCGACCGGAAACGCCGATCATCCAAGTCTCCGGATGCTACCACTGTGCTTGCGTCGAGGAGTACCGGAGCCTCTGGCTGGCCGAGGATATCGCCAAGGACGAGGCCGACGCCGGCGAGATCGAGACCGATAGCACGGATCAGTCCGAGAACGAGTCGGACCGCGAGGATGAGACTGGCAAGAGAGATGGCAGCCCGGAGATCCGGGTCACCCTGACGTCCGACAATGACCAGGGCGAGTCGTCGCGATACGTCCCACCCGAAGATACGCCTGCCGGGCCGGACTCCGAGGTCAGGCCAGAGTTCCCGGAGAGGCAGCGCAGGCTGTCCAGGCAGGAGGCCCTGACCACCTTCCCCCTGGAGCATCTGCCCGCTCTCGTGTCAGCCGCAACTGCTTCGTCGGAAGCGGACGACGACGACGACGATGAGGAGAACGAGCCCGTCGAGCCGCCGTCCGGGTCCAATTTCGTCGTGCGTGACATTTTTCTGACCGTGCCGGAGCTGAAGCGGGACCGCGCCGCTTCCGTGGATTCGTGTTTCAATAACAATAAGAACGGCGGCGCAGCCAATGCGGACTCGTTGGCGGTGCCGCAGCAGAGCATCAGGTCGAAGAGCGTCGACATCGTGCTGCCGACGGACGCGAGAACGAGGTACACGGCGCTGCTACCTGGGAAGGAGCCGCGACCTTCGATAGGGTGGGTACGTCTGATTAGATGGAGCTGCGACCCTCTCGGAGTGTTCTTTTGTTCTGAGCACATCGTGCAACGCGATCTTGGATTGCGTTGACGAGCACATTTCCTAAGTTGTACATTTTAATTTTGTTGCGCGATTTTTAGCACTTAAACTTGATTTATTTATTGTCAAATTTAGGATGCATAACCAGTCATCTGTCGCAAATAATATTGCTTGTCGTCGTCGTTTATTTTCTCTTTTTTTTAATGTAGCATTTAAATTAAATTTTAGCTATCGCGTGATGCATGAATTAAACCGTATAAAATTATTTTATATTTAAATTTTTGTAATGATTTTGTGATGAAATTATGCACCTTGAATATAATATAGATTTAATCTTGCTGTTAGAAAAGATGGTAGAAGCATCGAATTTTTTGGAATAAAAAATGGGCATACCTAGATACATTAAATTTCTTTCATAAAATGTGAAAATTTATAATCTATATAATATTGATTTGTATGAATGAAAATGACTCGTGATTGAAATCACATTTCTAATTATGTTAGATAATTTATATTTCTACCATCTTTTTTATTAATTCTTTGTTTATTATACCTATTTATATTTTTACTTTAAACTTCTTGTACTCTGTATGTATAAAATTATTTTGACTAAAATATACCTTTAGTTAGTTTAGTTTAAAACGAAAAAACCTAAATATTTTTTCTACGTTGCAAACATTTTCCTGTTTCACACATATTGCAACACATATGTAAAATAAACACAAAAATATATGGCATATAACGTTATAAATAGAACACTCTATCCTGAATTCTGACGCGACTTATAGATCATCTAAAGTGGGTTTAAAAAAATAAGCAGGGAAAGACTTTTATTATCGCGTTGCTATTTCCGTCTCTTGCCAGTATTTACGATTCTACTTGAAACTCTTGAAAGGGGAATAGCGCATATAGCGTTACTTCTCATAAATTATTATTTCGGACATTTCCATAACATTTCCATAAGTTGGAAAAATGTAACACTGAGTATCTCCGAAAAAGCTATGTTTATGTATTAAAAACGAAGCCAAAGTAATCTCTCTCTCTCTCTCTCTCTGTTATCGCGGAGAATTAAATATTTAAAGGATATCGATCAAAGAGCTATAAGCGGAGTGTCGTACGCACCTTTCGTCCGACATGATTATTATCATTATTTATTTATTACTACGCATATTAAGATATTCCACATCAAAAAGGCTCGCACCTAAAAAGCTGTGATCGTTAAGGTTTTTGTATTCTAATTTCGGATGAGTGTTTTATATACCACGGCAGAGAAAGGTGAACATCAATTATTCAACACAGCTTAAATTTTTGAGGACATTCTTACTATTTCAAAGATACGACATGATTTCGTGCCCGCGTTTGTGGGTCCTTATAAAAGAAGCACGTGCAAGGGGAATTTTAATTATGTATAAGATGATATGTATGCTTTCCCCATCTCCTCTGTTATCATTTCTTATTTCAGTATGATACAGATGAATTTTACATGTAAATACAAAATTACGTTTGGCAGACATTTTATGGCAAATAAATTGTGACATCGTCAGACGTAAAAATTAAATTATTTTTCTTCGCGATAATTTTTTAATTTGACAATAATATATATACATATATATATAAAACAGTTAAAATAGATATTTTTTAACTGTTATATATAATAGTTAATGAGAATTAATTAAGTCGAAAGAAGTTTTATGAGCGTTTGATGCGATGATTTTAGAGGGAGAGAGGATAGTAGAGAAGATAGCAGAGAAGGAGGTGGCTCGAGCGGTCATCGTGAACCTCGGTCGACTCCAGATTGGGGTCCAAATGCGATTAATGGAGAACATCTTTGGGTACCAACCGCTACGTCCGGTGACTTCTGTTACGTCAATGACTGTTCCGTAAGTCTCAACGATAATACGGAGAATGAAAGGATGCTTTTAAGAACAAGAGACGCATCAGAGATTTTGATCAATCGGATCATTATACGTGTCTTTTCTTCCTTCTCCCTTTCAGAAACACGGACCCCGGTTGAAATGTCCGGCTTGTCGCGTAGTGGCTCACGCCTGCTGCGTCGGAAATTTAGAGTTCGCCTGCAAGTCGAGTTTTCGCGATGTAGGGGTGCGTCAGTATCGCGAGCAAACGACAACCCATCATCATTGGGTCCATCGACGATCGCAGAAAGGCAAGTGCGCCAACTGCGGCAAGTCGTTCCAATCAAAGCTCAGCTTTAGCTCGAGGGAGATCGTGGCGGTGAGCTGCAGCTGGTGCAAGGCCGCTTACCACAACAGGGAGACGTGCTTCAACGTACAGAAAATAGGCGAGATGTGCGAATTGGGCACTCACGCATCGATCGTAGTACCGCCGTCGTGGATCGTGAAACTCCCTCGTAAAGGTAGCTTCAAGAGTAGCCTGAGAAGATCACCCAGAAGGAAGAAATCCGGCGATGGCTCATCTTACCGCCGGAAAAACAAAGAAAAGGAGAAGGAGGAGAAGGAGAAAGAAAAGGGAAAGGAAAAGGATCAGGGAGAGTTGTGGGTCGTTAAGCCCATACCCTCGGCTACCGTAAAGCCGGTGTTGGTTTTTATAAATCCAAAGTCCGGCGGTAATCAGGGAGCGAAATTGCTGCAAAAGTTTCAGTGGCTGCTCAATCCAAGACAGGTTTTCGATCTGACGCAGGGTGGTCCAAGAATGGGGTGAGTAAAAATACATCTCAACGACTGGCAAGGATGACGCACGATACAGGGAGAAAGAAAAGACTGAGTCAACAAAATCAAATCAAGTTAACTAAACAAAAATATTGATCTTGCAGATTGGAACTCTTCAAGAAGGTCCCTAATTTGCGCGTGTTGGCCTGCGGCGGCGACGGAACGGTCGGTTGGGTCCTATCGATTCTGGATCAAATCGGTGCTTATCCAGCGCCAGCGGTCGGGGTACTTCCTCTGGGCACCGGAAACGATCTAGCGAGAGCGTTGGGATGGGGCGGCGGTTACAAGGACGAGCCAATCAGCAAGATCTTAACGAGCATAAGTGACAGCGAGACCACCCTGTTGGACAGATGGCAATTGCAAGTCGAGAGGAACCCCGATGCCAAGAACGACGACGATGGTGGCAAGGGCAAGGAAAGCCTGCCGCTCAATGTTGTTAACAATTACTTCTCCCTCGGCGTAGACGCTCACATCGCCCTCGAGTTTCACGAAGCACGAGGTGAGATCAAAACTCCAAATTTTTATTCGCACTACCGATTATATTATTATGCCGAAAGTATCAAGTCAATATATAGCAGTTGTCCTAGTTCGGGCAGGAAATCGATCGCATGGCCGATCAAGGTTCCGCTCTGTGATTTCGGTGAGGTCAAAACGCGATCTCGAGAGCTCTGACCTCATTTCTTCTTCTTTTGTTTGCCTCGTAATTAAGTCAGACCTTTCTTGTATGTTATACCTCGTATAAAATATACCGTTACATTTGTAGTGTTAAATTATACTCACTTTGAGTTATTTTAAACCATTCCTATAGATCGCTACTGCTTCTACTCAATATGTCATTAATTTAACTAAATCAATGGAGTTAATTAATACTGTTTTATGTTAAAATAATAAATTTCGACACACGGTAGTTAAAAATAACAAAATGTTATTTAACTCAAGATATTTTATCCTTTAACATTTAACGGTATATACGTAAAAAAGGATTTTGTCTGATAAACCCTCTACGATTTATTGTAGAGGCTCACCCGGAGAAGTTTAACTCCAGAATGAGGAACAAATTGTTCTACGGACAGATGGGCTGCAAGGACTTGCTGCTCACAAAGTGGAAGGACCTCTCGGACTTCGTGACGTTGGAATGCGACGGTCAGGACATGACGCCGAAATTGAAAGAGCACCGAGTCCACGCTATACTGTTCTTGAATATTGCCTCTTACGGTGGCGGAACACATCCATGGAGCGCGGGAAGTGGCACTAGAGAACCCGCTATGGACGATGGGTTAATCGAGGTAGTCGGTCTGACCACCTACCAGCTACCTCTTCTGCAAGCACGTGGACACGGTACCTGCATAGTGCAATGCAGCAAAGCCAAACTGGTCACGACGAAGACTATACCGATGCAGGCAAGCTTTAACAATATGATTCTTGAACATAAAGAAAGCCGTCTTCTCTTTTTGTAAAATATAATAAATATATTTTGATTGTTGAATATTTATCATATACTTATGGATAAGGAGAAATTTTACTATAATATAATATTTATCCTTGAAATTTTGTCATTCTCTGTTCCGATAATATTATCATTCTCTATTTAATCTATTTTTTTCTGTAATGTTATAGGTCGACGGCGAAGCTTGTCGTTTGTTACCATCTATCATAACTTTAAGTATGTTGAACAAGGCAACGATGTTAGCGAAAAGAAGGAACGCGGGAAAGTCGCACCAGCACATAGCGAGATTAGACAGGCTGAAGCTACCTATAATGAGAATAAAGATGTCAGATTACGAGGCGTACCATCACAACAAAGAGAGGTTGAAGCAAGTGGCAGAGTCGTGGCTCGCGGAACCGCTCGATCTCGATGCTACGACTGATCTGGAGAGCCTGAGGAAACTCTTGACAAAAGATTACAATATGGACTCGTGCTGTTTCCTTGACTGTGAGTGCCTTGACTCTCGTGCAAATATTATCCGCAAATCGGTGCGATCCTCTGTGTGCGAAGAATACACAAAATGTGATTTCTGTTACTTAGCGTGCACCGCGGAAAGATTCTTCAGGATCGATCGTGGCCAGGAGCAACTGCATTACGTGACGGATGTCGCCGACATAGATGCCGTATACATCCTCGATGAAGACGCCATGCAGCAGCAGTCCGACGGCCGAGCGGGACCAAGCCAGATTGTCGCGAGTCAGGAAGACGAAACCGCGCAGATCCGCTTGTCAAGGTACGCGAGATATTTTCATGCAGACCCAGCATCTAGATTTTTTTTTTCCTTCGAAACGCATGATATGATATATGATATAGCGACGAACGTCTAAAGGAGACGCCAGCCGTGACAGAGAAGACGAATCGATCGAACGAAAATACGCGGGGACAGGAACAGCCGTCCGTCGCCGGGAAGATCAGGCTTTCCAGACAGCGGGAGAGCATTTCCTTCGATAAAGAATCCGAAGGTCAGAACGGCGTCAGACCGAAGAATTCGGCGAGTCGAAACTCCCTGGACGTGCCGCCGGGCGAGAACAGAAACGGCGAGTCGTACCCTCATATAAGACGCGAGTCCCTGAAGCAGAATTCTCACGTTGCAATCGCTCGTGCCGAACAGTCGCAGCACCAGGACCGATCTCTCGCTTTCATCAGGTAAGGTTCTCAGAGTCTCTTACGGCGTTACTTCGGACGTGCCGTTAATTATCCGAATGATCGAGAGAGAGAGAGAAAGAGAGAGAGCCAAGAAGGGTGTCTATGCGACGTTAGGAGACAGGCAACTTTAAATGAAGATCACTGGCGGCTTTCAAAGCGGGTAACGTAGACCTTTATTCCACACGAGTGCCTTTTAGACGGTGTAAAAGGTACCGCGACGACATATTATGGATTATTCTAAAGAAAAACTCAACACGAGCCGATACGTTACGTAAACCCTCATTCGACCGTGCGCTTCAATTATCTTTGCTCGGATAATTTATTCGGATAATAATTATTCCCTGTCCCGCGAACGTTGCAGAAGTAGTTTGCGTGCGGAGGGAGGAGAGATTGCCCTAATCTGGATTCCTCTGGTTTATATTTTGCAGCCCCCGCGACAGACTCTTCGGCCTGAACTCGGGAGTTCACGGATTCGCTACTGAATTACTCGAGAAGAGCTGCGATGAGATACTGAGAGCGGCGAAGATCGGCGATCTGCCGACCTTGAAGCAGCTTCATCAAAAGGGGTACTCGGTTCTGTCGATCGATGAGACTGGTCAAACGGCGCTACACCTGGCATCGAGGCACGGTCACAAGGATATTGTCAGATATCTTATTGCCTGCGCCCCACCGACAATTTTAAACATGATCGATAATGATAAGTAAGTTATCGATTAAAATTCACGATAAAATTGAAAACTTAATCTGAATATATTAATCACTGAAATTTCTCCAGTCTTTCTCGTTACTTAATTTCTTTTTATTCTCGCTGCATTCTATTCATCTTGATTGCAAGAGTAAAAAGTAATCTATTTCTATTTCAGAGGGCAAACCGCTTTGCATAAAGCTGCCCAAAATAAACGTCGTTCCATTTGCTGTATGCTCGTAGCCGGTGGCGCGTCTTTGATGATGAAGGACCGGCATGGTAACACGCCGCATCAGCTCGCGCTGATCGCGGAGGATCACGATCTAGCTGCGTATCTGCAAAGTAAGTAATCTTTCCGATCGTAGACTTAATCTTCTCGATTCGTCAAGGTAAACTCTTTCAAGACAGTTTCTCATCAATGAAATCTCGTCTCTCTAGAGCGTTAAACACATATTTGACTCTAGGTGCACCTATCTAAGTGTATACGAATTGTAATTATGTGTGTCACCAGGTCAAGAGCACTTTCAATTAGCGACGGACGAGATGGAGAGCGATCTCTGACCTTCAGCGTTGATCGCCACGGCCTGAACCGCCCTGAACGACTGTGACGCAAGAGCCGCTGTTGTCGGCGTTCCGACGACGCTTTTTTGCGGCATTTTTTTCGTAACGTAAATCGCTACGTGATAATCTGATATCCTTCGTCTGTTTAACGTCGACGATTACGTGTTTGCCAAATGCTGACGTATTTTTCTTGTCGATACTTCGAAAATTACTCTCTAGGACACAACTATCACATAATTTATCTACACATACATACACAGGACACACACACGCGTACACGCGCATACATATAATACGTAACTATGTAGTTGTTTCTAATCGATAATAAGTCTTTATTTTTCTCACTCGTAAACTTGCCCGAGGCTTGTAGCTCTACTTACACTCACGTACTCGGCAAGTGGACCATAATCGGTCAGGGAGCACCTAAAATTGTTCCTAAGAACGAGCAAAAATTTATTTTTCGTACGACATTTAACGTCTCTCCGGTCCGAAATGAGACAGTCAGTTTTGTATATCTATATATAATACATATATACGTGTATAAATACACTCACATTATATATTTGCGAAAGATTCTATCAATATTACAATCTCGTGCAAAATAAACAGACAAAATGGGCCGGCCATCATATTTGCGCGATTAAAGAGAACGGACGACTGTTTTTGTGGAGCTCAATCCGGTGATGAAACGTTAAGTCTGTGCCAACTGACTGAGTCATGAAGGAACATTAACGATAATGCCAAACGGAGATTGACTGTCTCATGTTGGAGCATGTGCAAAAGTATATACAATATATATATACGAAACGTTCATAGTCTCCACTCGAAATGGGTGCTACAAGCGAATCGATAATCTGTTAGTTTTAATCCAGGGAAAATAGAGAATAATTTTAGTGGGAGAACCACGATGAGAACGAAGATACATTCTATAAATACCAAAATGTAAAAAGGGATCAACGTACGAACACCAATTAGTAGTTAGACGCAGTCTATCAATATTATCGTACTATTGCTATTACTATTATACTGTTACTACAATTATTTTTCTGTCGGATTGATATGTAAGATCTATGTACATATACGTGTAGAGTTTTTAGAGGCGCTCATCGCTTGGATTTGCGCGTATACTATAACTAAAGAAAGGACGCCGCTCACAAGTCAATACCGATCGTGCACGCAACGATTTCTTTCTTTCGCGCGTCTTAATCGAGCCCGTTTACTTATCGATACTTCTGTGATCCCCTAGAAACCCAATTTATATTTCTACTATACTTTGAACGTGTGTGGGTGTGACGATTTCGTACGCAGCGGCGAGTACGTCCTCTGTTTTTATCTCTTTCCTCATTATCATTCGTATACTGATGCTCAATAGTTCGTATTCGCTTCGTCCGTTGTAAAATGGAGAAATAATTCGGGAGCGAGGGGTGTATCGAATGTGATCGAACGATCGAGTTTTATCCGTAGATTTTAAATGCTAATATACTAATATATGAGAGAGAAATGTATGAAAAGAAAATGATAATTGTTGCGAAAGTATTCAGCTTCTTTTAACACGCGAGAGGTGACTTTCGAGAATATTTTGTTTCAATTCAATTTTTTTTTTTAATTATTCCTCATCTTAAATGGAAAATATGTACGATGTATCGAGACTATTGAGTATTAGTATCGCAGGAGTCGCGCACTCCTTTAAATCTTGCACATGAGCGATTTTCTAATTGTCCTTATCTCGCTAAGAAAATCGTCATGTTAACTCAAGTGAAATCTTGATACCACGTTTTTAGCGAGTAAAAGAGGAAAGAATTGCCGCTGTTTTATTGGCCGTTAAGTTAATAAGTTAAGTTAAGTTTCACGCAAGAATGTAGATAACTTACGAAACTTTTGTGTTCGACCACGACTTAAGAAGACGGTGAGTTATTGTAACGGCGGGCGGGTTTTACTTCTTATAAGTTTCGCTAGGCCGCGATTTGTAACGGTGTAAATTACGAACATCGGTCTTTCATCGATTTTCTCTTGAGAAAAATCGACTACGCGCTCGCGGTGGAGGAGGGGCGCGATGTCTAGAACGTCCTCGCTTATCTTTACTGCTCTTTCGGAGTATTTAAGAAGAAATGCCTTTCGCGATCCGTACCTGTTGTACCATTGTATCGATAAAAAGAGAGAATTTAAAACGAGAGATTAACTTAAATAAACGTGAAAGGATCGTTGTAGAATCGTTGTAGGGATCGTTTTAGGACCGTGTAAAAGTACGTAAAAGTAGGGCGCACGTTATCGGGCATACGCCGTGTAATGTACATCGAGAACGGATGAGAATGCGAGTATAGCATTAGTTTTAGTGCCCGATAACGCGAACCGGCATTGGAACCGGTGCGGTCTCGCGAGGTTCCACAACTCTCCAATTGTCGAAGTCTTGGGAGAAAAACGGGATGTGCATTTTCCATTAGACGATTGTGTCTATTCGTTGCCGCGAACGAGCGTGAAAATCGTTCTCGCGGCAATCCGAAATTTTCTTACTCGTCTTTGCGATCGTGCCGGTTTCAATTCTCGGATTAGTATTAGGCTCGAGATTAAAAAAAAAAACACACAAAAAAGAAAGAAAAGAAAGAGGGAAATTAATTGGGATTTCCCGGATATATAGCGACGCCTTTATATAGCGTCGGTGAGAGCGCTGGCTCGGCTCGCAAATCTCGATTTTAAGTTTTTAGAGCAATAAATTGACGACAATCACGATATTTCGGCATAAGCCAGCGCTCGGGCCGCGACTGACCTTCTCTCCCGTCCGTTTCCTCTCCTTGTTCCGTTTCGCCGTTTTGAAATTCGAGATTGTCTCGTCTGAACAACGAGACTCCGTGCGCACGTTCCATTTTATCGGTAGACGGATGTCGGATATACACACAAGCGACTTCGAAGAAGAGTCGCACGTACTACTTAATCACGTGATTATCAAATAACAAGCATAAACTATTTGGAAAAAAAAAAATTAAAAATAATATTTCAAATATAGATAATATATAAAAGAATTTCTAAATCTTATATATAAATTTCTAAATATTATATATAAAACATTAAGATTAGTTAAAATATATATAAATATCTTCTTTTCTCTTTCTTCTTCTGTCCGTATCTCTCGCTTTCTATTTCGCTTTTTACAATTTTCCAAGTTTTCTGTCGTCCTAATAATTACTTCCATAACTTCTTAAACAATACACAAATTTTAATAAATTTTCAAATCAATTACTCAGAACGATTCCTTCGTCGCTGGTGCGCGTATCCAAGTTAACGCGATTTCTTAGTAAGAAAATTCTGTTGGTGTGCACGGAGTCCAGATCCTTGACGTACCATTTCTCTCTGTTTCCCTTTTAAAATTTATGAGTCGAGTAGAAAATCTATAATCGATCTATCGTAATAGAATCTTGTTATTCCGTGTTCGTAATTTTAAAGTTCGTTGTACTTGATTGCACTGGACGACAGAGCGTCTCGAATGAGCCTTACTTCCATTAAACCTCTCTTTCCCATCCGTAGAAAATAAGTTTCGACTAGATGTACAAATGCATTTACATTCAGTAAGTAAATTTCCTTCGGTCCAAAATCGATTCTCGCGCGAGAATAACAATGAACGGATATTTCTGCCTCGGGTTCCATTATACAAATTACAATACCTCGAAGCTCTCGGTTACGAACGAACTTCAATGTCGTCCAGTTATATTGAAAAATGTTACGAAGTATTAAATAGTACATAGATTTGAATTCTACGGAATTTCTTAACTATTCTAGAGATTATACTCATCGAAAATGAATTCTGTCCATTCGCCTGTCAGTTCTTCCGAACGTGTGTCTCCAGATATTTTCGAGAGAGAAACAGTTTCGGTTCACCAATATATTTCCAGCCCCGTAATGATACAACAGTAGCTTTTATTTTCTACAAGAAAATGTAGGAACTGAACTTTACAGTTTTCATGTGAACACATCGATACATTTCTCAGTACGCGACACGCGCGTATTACGCGGCGCGGGGGAACGTCGTGTGCTTGTATATATAAATTTCTAAGTCTCGTGGGAAAGGCTTGGGCGGACCAACCAATGACCATTTAATTTTATCAAAATAAACGATATCGCTGTATTATCTGTAATTTTAAATCCTATTGAACGAAACGACTCACGCTACCGGACCGTTCTTGAGACGTTTCACGAGAAACGGCGGAACGTAAGGAAGGAACTCCAAATTCCGGTAGAAGAATTTTCGCGTACGAAACTTGATTGCCGTTAGGGACGATACGTCCCGCGTAACATTACCTCCCGAAAAATTTCCGACATATCTCTATGTATTTTTAATAATAATAAGCGTATTGTTCAATTCACACGTATGTATTGACATGCGGTTATATATACTTCCTCCCCCCCCCCTTCGCCCTCGTCTCTTTATTCGATCGAGCCAAATTATACATGCAAAGTTTATTGATCTCAATTATATTTGACGAACAACTGAATAAACAGTTTAAAATGCCTTAGGACTACAGATTAGAAACCCATGTTTCTTGTCGAGATTAAATAAATATAAATAAATATCTTTTATTTAAATAAATAAATATAAATAAATATCCTTTATAGTACCTAGTATGTGAAAATATTTGCTTTTGTTAGAGATTTGGTTTAACGTCTGGTAACGCCTATTTGCAAATCATCCCGTATCTTCATCTTCATCGGGGATTATTACGAAAGCTATTTATTTACGAGCTTTATTAATCTAAATTATATTTGACAAATAAACATATCTGACGACTAAATAAATAAAAAGTTTAAACTCACCTCAGAATTGTACAGAGTGAGAGTCTACGTTTTTCAGCAAGATTAAATGTGAATATACAAATGTATATCTTTTAATAGCTAGCATTTAACAATAATTAAAAACTATTTGCTCTTGTCAGAGATCGGGTGCTACTTGCAAATGATCTATCTTCATCTTCATCGGTTTAATTGGGAACGATTACGAAAGCTACTTATCGCAGATACAGGATGACGCCACGGCGTAACCATGCGTCGCATTCTTCTCGCGGGCACGTGATCGGTAACGAACAAATTAGAGCCTCCCGTTGAACACTTGTATAAACCGGTATGCTCAGATAATCTTGCCGATACGTATCCTCGAGAGCGGAAAGATTGTCGTCGCCGGATTTATCGTCCGAGTATTCCTCCGGCATAAACGCCACTTGGCATGTCGGGGCGACCGCGACCGCTGCTGAATTTGCGTCCAGATCCTTCAAGACACCTTCTTCGATCGAGGCTCCTGTAAGAAATGCGTTGCGTATAGGCCGTTTTCTCTTTTATTTATAACAGTATTCTAGACTCTAGAATTTTTCGATATGATCTAAAAATTTTCAAAAATTGTCAAATGTGATTCTTGTTACTTGATTATAATAAATAAGAACTTGATACTGTGAATACTGGATCAAATTCCGTTGAGTCTGATAACATAATTAATCAAACTTACCTGATATGAGTAAACCCTCGAGCTGGAGCGATACCTGCCACTCTTTGTTCGTACGATTCTCGGTCCAATTGGCACGGAGATGAAGCGTTTCCAACGGATGACCGAGCTCTCGTGCGGTATGTTGCTTTAGGGCGGTTAGAAGAGCCCGTGGTCGGGACAGCTGGGATAAATCAACTCGACTGGGTACATTTATCGCTGATGATTTTAGTGCTTCGTATTTGAACAGGAGCGCTTTCACGAATTGAATGGTATTCTTCGGGCCCGTTCGCCATTCCGCAACCCAGTGCTTGGGAGTCTTGAATCATAAATGTAATGATTACCATTATTATTGTGAAAAAAATATATAATTATAATTATCGTTGTATTGAAATAATTATATAGAAATACAGTTCTCAAAATCGAAATCTGCCTTACCTCGTTATCGTCGAAAGAAGGCGCGTCCATGTCCGTTTGTACAATGTGCAACAACTTTTTCGTAAGATCGATTTCATCGATGAAAAAGTCTTGCAAAGGGTTTCCTTTCCGCTCGCTTATGGCACCTGTATCGCGCGTGAACGTCAAAGAACATTGTCGTTCCATAATTTCCTTTAGATCTTGTTGGACTTTCGACTTTTCTAATTTATCGCTAGTTCCTTCGCTGTTGCTGAAAGACTTCATCAAGATACCTGAAGAATAATTCAAAAGTATTAGTTGAAGTCGAGAACTTCGATGACTTAGAAGATATAAGAATAAAACTTTAAAAGATACCTTTGAGATACGTCAGGGCTTGTTCCGCAGCAGCCCTTTCCCATGCCCTATGAGCGTTAGCGGGGAGTCCGAAGTACTCTTTCGGCGAATCAACGTCGTTCAAATTCTCTAATGACTTTAATAGATCACCCATCGTCATGTCGGTTACTTTCAACGCGTCTCCCAGCTTCCGGCGTCCCTCAAAAATATCTCTGGACCACGCGTTGCGTATCATCGAGCGCAATGCCCTTGCGTCATAGGCATCCTGGAGCCGGCCGCCGTAAACCGCAACGTCGAGCAGACCTCTACCGATCTGCCAATCACCTTTCCATCCCAACATATACTTGATACATCGGTCTTATAAGATGTTAAAATTACTTGTGTACGTTTACGTTTCACATACCTTGTTGCGATCGTTTCTCCTTTGTCACGTCCTTTACCACCAATTCGTAGGCAGCCTCGAGATCCGACTCGTTCCACTCGTACGGTCTGATCCAACCCTGAGGAACGAAGTTTCGTCGTTCTTGAAGCGTCGCGTGTAACCAGGCGAGTACCAACGTAGTGGCCGCGACATCGTCGCTGTTACGTTGCGACTGTCGCAGCTGTTGCAGCGATTTTCTCACATTCCTCTTCACGCCTTCGGGCGGTTCATACGCCAGTTTCAGACAGAGCCCCGCTAAACCCGGATAGAATCCGGAACACTCCTCGGTGGTCAGCCATATCCTCGTGGAGGAATTCTTGTTCGTGGTACACATCGGCGAGCGAAGCAAACTTTCCAGTCGCGGCAGCCAGTTTAGAGCGAGCTGCAAGTTGCTTAGCAATATCCAACCACCGTTTCTGCGAAGTAATAATGAATATATTATTTAGTATTCGACAAGATCGTATACTTTCAATTAAAATTCTATTTCTATCTTTAATAATTTTTATTAAAGCAAGATAAAGCATTTTAAAGTTTTTTTACTCATATAATATTGTACATATTGCATCACGATGCTTTCGGGAGTTATGAGATTTTACCTGCATGCGGCTTCCAGCGCCAATTCAGCTTGCGTGACATGTCCTTGGCCCAGAGATACCTCGGTAAATCCAGCGGAGGTGTGTTTCTCGGCTAATACACTGAGCTCGGGACCGGGATCAGTTCCCGGCGATAAAAGTAACAGCACAGGATACGTCCCCGCCTTTTCCTGAGCGACCGTGCTCAATGTCCATAGAGGTGGTGCCAAATCCTTCACACCTTTCGCAAATAGATTTAAAAATTAAATTTGCTTGAAAGAGTTGATCGCGCGAAAAAGAATTCGGTAAATTTACAATTTTTGAAAGAGAGAATCTCAAAATAAACGTAGTGTTAATTGTTTCAAGCATATGTTCATTCTTGAAATAAAAATAATAAAAGGTGCTGTTTGTACATAATATTCAAATTGTTCGTTTTTCTTGAACTCAGATCGTTTGTATATTTTTCGAGTGTATGAATTTTAGAATTGTAAGTTGCAATGACATTAAAATATTTAAATATACGCGAAATTCGAAATAATTTTATCGCATAATCTGGCACTTGCCTAATTGCTTCGCAGCTAATTTAGAAAGTGCGGTGTGCAAATAGTCAGGCCGTAGAGCCTTAACGACTAAAACTTTTTGAAAGGCGCTGAGTCCCTTGTCAGCATAAATATCGGAAATATCGTTCAGCCAGGAAGATTTCATCCTAACGGCTACCTTTGAAAAAGAAAAATAATATCGACGTCAGTAAAAATTCAAATCTGTTTTATTCAAACTGTTCATGATAGTAAAATTAATTTAACAAAACTTTCAATTATTTACTGAAGACATCATATACATACGTTGGGTAGAGAAGAGCCTAAGGCTTGCACAGCTTCGCGTCGTTCGTCCGGTATCCATTCAGGTAACTCGAAGTCGGAATTATCGGCGCCACTGTCAAACAAGAGATTTCTCTCAACATCCGGCACTGGGTTTAACGACAACGCCATGTGCAACGCCAGCGGAAGTCTATGCTTCCTGTAGACCGCCTTCGCGCAATGGTGAAACGTCAGAGTTATCAACCTGATACAACAGACTGCGTGACGATCTTGCATTTATCATTTGCATTTATCAATCAGAATAAACATGTGCGTACCGTTTCTCGATTAGACCTCGTGATTCCCGCTTCTCTCTGTCTTCATTCGTGAAAGAAATGTCATCCTGCACCGCTTTCAAGCAGATATCGGTATAGGCTTCTGTGGAGATGACATACAAAGAGCTGAGGAGTGTCAACCCTTGGATAGTCTCGTAGACATTAGCGGCAAACTGCGCGAACTTTTCGTGACTTTTGGCACGCCTAAAAGAAGAGGACGAAAACAGCGTTATTTTCAGGTGTTGATACCAACATCAATATTAGTATTTTTAATATAGAAGTAGTGTTAAAATTTCTAAAAGTACCTCGAGACTTCTTCTAAACTTTGTCTACTCTCTTCGAGCGCGATCGCTATCTCTTTTGCCTTAGACTGCGTTGCTTCCAATGAAAACAAGAGACCTCCTTGTTCTTGGGATTCTTGTAAAAGATCTTGGCCTCTGGCAGTAGCTAATTGGCTCAGCACATCTAGCCTGGCCGCGTCCCGCTCTCCGGACAATCTTTCTTCCCTCTCCAAGGCTTCTCTTCTCTGCGCCTCGAGCTCCGGCGTTTCGTTTAGTAGGAGCTGATGTGACAGTATCGTTAATGATCCAAATATAAAAGAAAATCAGATAGAAATGCCATATCAGAAATCACTGCATATTTATTAATTTTCTCGTACCTTCTCCACGAATCTTTCTGCCAGGCTTTTCGTACCGGCGCCGAGCGTGATCTCGCATAACACAGCATCGGCTTCCTTCGGGATATCTTCCAATTGATTCTTCCTAGTGGCCAGGAAGAGTTGAAAGCCTTCCTGAGCCGGCAGAATACGATCGCCCAATCTGAGCGATCCTCGACGAAGCATGGGCAACAATATCGACGGAAACTTGACCAATTCCTCGACCAACAGAGGTTTCCCGAAACGCACAGCGAGCTCCAGAGTCGTCAAGAACTTGGAATTTTCAGGCTGAGTTATCTCGAGTCTAGTGCCAAAATTGCGTTTGATCCAGGTGACAGCCACTCCCGAGGGATCAAGGAAAATAGGTACCAGGGGTCCTTTCAGCACGCGAGAGGCTGCGACCAAGCTGGCCGTGTCTGCCGGCAAACCCTGTGCTCTCCACGATAATCTTTCACGTTCGGTTACTAGTAATTTGATCGCTGATTTCTTCCAATCGTCATCTCTCTCAGGATCCTGCACAATCCAAATGTCATAATTCTTTAAGGATCAATTGTTACTACTTATTATTATAATCAATTAATTAATAACAAATATTTAGAGATTTTTTATTTATAAAAAATTGAAATATAAATTATTTGTTGACGTAAATTTTAGAATCAAATTTTTCTTTTTTTACGTTAGGCAAAGCTAAATAGGAAGACTTGATTACCTGATATACAAGTAGAGCTGCAGCATTAGCTGCCTCAACGTCCAGTTGCTCTTTCCTGGCAGTCAGTTCTTGGGACTGCGCTTGCCAGTCGCGATGTTCGGTATCGAGTTTCTTCAACAGGGCACGTGCTGTCGAAAGACTGGACTCGGTGGATTCGGTTCGCAGCTGTAATTCAGCTGCACTCCTCGTGTGCTCGGCAAGTTCCTTCTGAAGCTGCGCCACACGGCTCTCTACTGTGTTTAATCCCATTGTTAATTGTCCCAACTGTGCCTCAGCTGCCGCCAGGCCCCTTAAATGACAAAATAGTTAAGAAACCGAAAAATAAAACAACTAAATGTAAAAGAAAATAAAATGAGAATTCAAAATTAGGTAAAAAAACGAAAAAAAATTGATAAGAAAGATAAAAAGATACATCACAGACGAATGTCAAAAGAATCGGAAAATATTCTTGCATTTAAAAAATTAAAGAAACATACTCAGCTAACTGACGTTGTTCTCGTTCCAGGGGAGCGACTTGTTCCAATATTTGACCGTATTGAAGATTCGCAAGTACCCAAGCGGCTAACGGAGCGGCCGCAACCGATGCTCTCTTCGCGGTTTTCTCTTCGAAGCTATCCGGACGTTCCTTTATCAGTTTGGCGACCGCCTCTAAACTTGCAGGCGCACTGCGTCTCGCGTCCCAATTTCTGCGCGTTAAATTTGCGTAGAAAAATGAAGAAAAAAATTTTAGTTGATTGTAAAATTAAACAAACAGTTGAATAAAATAAAATTGATCAGTTAGATTGAGCCAATACTGTTGCTTACCTGATTTCGTCCTTGATTCCTCGCTTAGCGAGGAAGGTCTTCATGCTGTTCCAAGACGTGTCCTTTATGCCCATCAACCGGAGGACTCCCTCGAGGACGTCTCTCACCGGCGCCGGTGGTGCTCTCAACGAACGAACTTCAGCCAACGCGTCGGCACTTATACCAGCCACGGCTTGAGCAGCTTGCGCCACCAGAGGCTCGACCTTCCCTAATTCACTCTCTATGTCCGCCTACGTAAATGATAAGATTGATATATATTGTTATTCATGAATATACATCGCATCCACGCGGACACGTCGCGTTGCGTGATCTCTATGAGCCTCAATTTTTTGTATCGATAATGATACACAACAACAGAAAAAAACGATATTACCTTACGTCGTGCGAGTTCGGCACTTTCGCGTTCCGTGTTAGCCTTCAAACTTGTCATCTCTCCTCTTTGATTGGTTGCGCCTCTCATCGTAGCGGTGATTTGTTCAAGAGCGGCATTGGCTCTCCCCTTTTCCACCTTTAAGCATGATTTTACGTAATTGCAGTATTGTAAAATACAAGAAGTTACAATTACATATAATAACGTTATTGCATTACGCGGACCTCAAGTTCCTGGCGTTGCCTGGACACCTCATCCTCTAGCTTGGCGACCTGCTCACCGGCTTCTCTTAGTTTGCTGATACCGGCTTCGAGAGATCGTAGCTTCTCTTCGACCTCCTTGCTCCACGTGTCACGGAGCTGTCTCCAGGTGTGCATCAGAGCAAGGAACCGCGCCGGTGCCCTTTGATAACGAGGTGCCTGAAGATGAGCTCCGATTATGACCTTCGCGCCGTGCGGTAGTTCCTCGAGCTCATCCATTTGCAAAGTGCCCTCCTGAATTGCCAATTTGATCAGCGAGCATTCTCGGGACCACCACTCGCTGGGACCGCCAGGTCCAGAGCCGAGCAACGCGCAATGTCGAAGGAGACCGAGATGTAACAGGGACGACGATTCGATCTCTTCTGAATCTAAGATCATCGCTATTCGGAGAAACTTGCGCAGGCCTGTGAAATCAATCAGTCACTATATGCATCATAAATTAACGAAACCATCCATTGCTGAGTATACGAACGAAAGATTTATAAATTATCTTAAAAGAGTAACAGTCCTCTATGGATTTATTTATCCAGTATCGAATAACATTTTGGATACACGTACGATAATATAAATACTGCTCCAGTGTCCCTTGAAAATCTTCTCTTCGGGCAAGATCGGCGAGCGGTGCGACCAGCGCATCAAGTTCCTCCGTCGTGAAAAGTCCTGGAACTTCCCCTTTGGATACTATGGCGCTCACCATCACGGCTAAGGTCTCCTCCCTGGCGTGATGTTCCTCCAACAGGAGCAAAGTCGGTTGACTCTCAATACCGGCTGCTTGTACGGCGCTCTTTATCGCCGCTTTACCACGTTCTGAAAAACGACATATGGATATGACGGGATTCCAAGGGACAAGATACAATAATAGAACGCGTTTCTACAGATTATTAGCTCATCTTACTGTACCAGGCCCTGAATCGATCAGTCGTAGGGAAGAGAAGGTTGCAACTAGTTTAACTGCTGACCTTCTGCCCGCTCCCGGTCGTCCAACGAGAATTATACCACGAAAATCGCATCCAATAGCCCAACTTAATCCTATCAAAATATTTAATATTGTTATGATTGTCAACTCTTCCCTTACCTATTAATTTAATTAGGCCGCGCTACACACCAGCTACAATTTCTAAAAGATAAGATGAAATCGATGCCTGCACTGGTTGACCCTCTCTGGCACATCTAGCCGCTGCGTTAATTACCTCTTCTCGCCATTGCTCTTCAGTCAAAGGATATAGCCCAATATTTGCGCTCTTCCATGCATATACATCATTATTAAAATTCTTTACCTCGGAGTCCTTCGAAATTAGCAGAGATTCCCACCGTGTCAGCGTTTTGGGCGTTAATCTAAATTAGTAAATACAATAATATTTTAAAGACTTTAAATTTATCTTTTTTTGAAATTTAATTCAGCTTCTTTGCAAATTTAATTTATACATATGTATACATATAATAATATATTTTTAGAAAATAATTTTTCCTTGTAAAGTATTATGATTTTAAAATACCTCGCACGAAATAGACGTTGTCCAATGTCCAACAAGTAACGAGTGATGTACGCTTCATTTTCGGGAGCAGGATAATACTTTAAGAGTTTTGCCCAGGAGACAATATCCTTAAGAGTCCAAGTAAAAGAAGATTCCTGGGAGGAACTCGCAGATCGGAAAGCGTCCAAAATACTAGGCTTCATTCGGGCGATCCAAGATTCCGCCATGACAAAGTCGACTTCTTTCAAAGAAGTCCTCAAATGAAGTTCGAGAATAGCCGCGATATCCTTTTGGCTTGGATATCTAGCACAGATATATTTCATATAAAGTTTCAAGAACTTGTTCTAAATTTATTACTATTTTTTTTAATAATACACGAATTAATTAAATTAAATACACGAATTAATTAATTAAATACAGAAGATTAAATTTATGTATATATGATTATAGGTACTTAATTTTAAAGAATGGATTTCCTTTAAACTTTATTTTGATTTATATATTTTTGTACAGAAAAGTCACTCACTCTAGATAATAAGTTGCGAATAAGGCTTCGAGCCTCGGATGTAATCGAGTAGTCACATCGGCAGTGCATATGATCGTTATGGATATTTTAGAAAATACGAGATCTTCCTCAAGGAAACCTTCCTCTTGAAGTAACTCTCTTACTAATTCCTAAAGATAATTTGATCTCATTAATTTTTTATTATAAAAATAAAACTTTTTTATTGAAAACTTTTCTTTTACCATTCTTTTCTAAAGAAATTTGTATTATTTACGGACTCAATAGTATTATTAAAACAGAAACAGTTTCAAAAAAAAGTTTTAAACGTTATCTTTTATGTGCTAAACACAGACAGCCATAAGACGTCTCTAAATTAATAGATCGAAAGATTAGAGAAGAGACTTGTCTGGATTATACCTGTAAGTCTTTAGCAGCAAGATGCATATCTTCCAAGATAAGAAGCACTTGAGATCCGCTTCTCGGCTTGTACATCCTACCCTGCGAAGAAGACTCCAAGCGCAAACAGGCTTTTTTCAAACGACTCACAAGATCGTCAGGACCATAAAGCGAAGATCCCCGTACCACGGTCGTGATATCCTGATTTTTTATTTTCGTCAATGCAACGTCGATTAAGGCATTTTTACCGCAACCTTCGAGTCCACGAATCATAATGGGATGACCATTCTCCATCCAGGGCAAAATAGCCGCTAATGCCTTCTTGATGCGATCTGCATAAAATATATAAATATAGATCTATGTCTCTCCTAAAAATATAATTTTGAAGTTTTAACGCAATTTTTTTAGTACCCGAAATCGAGACGGGCCCGTGATCGGTATTGATAGACTCGTACGTATCGCTGAAGGGTACCAATCGATCGGTTTCAGAGTCGTAAAGAACTGCGCTTGGCTTTTGTGGATCTGGACACCTGAGAAATACATTTATAAGCGAAAAGTTCGACGTGATTCAGTTTATTGTTTTAAAAACTCGAGAAGTCCCATTTAGCGCACTCACCAGCTTTCGGTTGATCCGTAAATAAATTTCGCCAAATCGTCTTTGGATTGTGCATCCTCCACTTGGCCGGATAATGAAACCAAAAGAGCCTGAGTGGCCTGAGCGAACGTTTGCGCTTTATGTAGGTGACACAATGTAGCGGCCATTAAACCGGATGCGGAGGAACTATTAGCCTTTATTTTCAGAGTTTCGTCGATGCATGAACATAAATGGGTATTCGCGATCTCCGCAGCGGTCGACGAGAGTTGCTCTAAACGCCACGGTACCAACAAGGACGTCGGTCTCGTTGAGCCAAGATGCAGAACGCCCAATCGGGAAACTGTAGCTGGGCTAGCATCGGCGAGTTTGTGGGTCTCGAAGATGAACCTTGTTTTACAAACATTTGTGCAACATGTATAATCGAGTAATTAAATGGCGCATATAAAACTTAACAACTTACTTGACGTATATAATTAGAATTTGAGAGATTTTTCGCCACTACGCGTTATAAATGTTGTTATAGATATCTTCAATTAAGACATTTGTACCTTGTACCGCTACCAAGCTTAATTCCTATTCCATTGGGTAATGTTAGCAATCGATTATCGTCCAGGGCTGAATTCAACGCCTCCGCCCAGTCGGGTTCCACGTCCCCATTGAAAATGATCCAGGTCGCGGAATTCCCGGCGGACGTTACCGCGCTCGACAAAACACCCTCCTTCCATTCCCTATTTACACGCACAAACATTTGTATTTTAATATTAAACGGGTCTTTAAAACGCGGGATAAAAGGAATCATTGTGTAAATTGTGTTTCATATACTCTTTACCTCGTCCGCGGATTAATGTGACCTAACAATCTGCTCTTTGGTATCGCGCCAGGATAAACGATAATCTGCTGTACGGATTCGCCGGTTTTTGCTATCGCTTCAGCCAAACACGACCTGATCGACGTTTTTCCGCTACCCGGTGGGCCGACTATGGCAACGCCGGTCCTGCTCTTCAATAGATCGTTCAGTTGAACGCATCTATTGGCAATTTCTTTCGTCAATCCCCGTGTTTCACAAATCTTCAATAATGCGACGACCAGATCCTCGCTTTCAGTGGAGACCGATAAAGGAAGATTAGTCTTCGGGAAGAGATCGTCCAGCAACGACAGGAATTTCGTCGTATCTGCCTCTGTCAGTTTCGGAAGGGTCGATGCCTTGATTGAAATAAGAAGCCTGCAAAAAAAAATAAGAAATTTTTTCATCATAATATAGTTTTAACAACAAAAGTTTCTATTAGTGCAGCTTAAAGATATTAATACAAATTTGTCTTAATTCCATAAAAAAATATTCACATATATTTATCTAAATTATACGTAATAAAAATAAAAGGATTTCTTATCGGCAAAAAGTACAAACTGAAATCTACTTTAAGGACTGAAATGTTTTCTTATCGATGGACAACTCGTATATCTACCAATGCAATAAAAACGAGAAAAGAGAATTTGTCAAATACATATATCAGATAAGAAGTCTGATAAACTAAAAACACGAGGCGATTATATCGAGTGATTTTATTTCTATCTATTAATTATATTAGATCTGTTTAAGCCGCAAGAACGAGTCTCTTATCGCTGGAAAACTTATCGCAGAACCTCACGAATTTCCGCGCGTTAATCACAGCTTGAGATATCTGGCATAGATATCGCTGACTATTAATCTTGTGATTATGACTTTTGAAATTATCATCGAAAAGTTTTGAGTGCTGGAGTATCAGATCAAGCTTGCGTTAACATCAACTTACTAATTGAACAGTATTAAAACAATATTAAACAGTATTAAATAGTATTAAAATATCAACAGTGTATTAAAAATACGCTAATGTTATATTAATATTAATATTAATGAAATAAAGATCAATTTTTAATCATGTATCTAATAACATTTTCTTCCTCAATCTGACATATTTTAAAACAAACACGAACATACCTGGTGGTCTCATCGACGTCTGCAATCGGACGTAGGGCGTCGAGCACAGATTTAAGCGCCCTGAGTCCCCAATCGTAATGCGGCTGCTCGGAAAGCATGGTCCCAGCAATCTCGAGAGCCTCCACGAGCCGTTTTCCAAGGGTGGTCGCCTCTAAGAAACCAGCGCACTCCAACAGAGTCCTGACAATGTCTGATTTATCTGGATGCGCCATACTGATAGGCCTGAAGAGTCGCGCTAAGGAATCCGGCAGCTTGCGCCTGCCGCCGTACTCGCTCCCAGCTGGATTCATCGTGATAAAGATGCAGCAGTGAGGATCAAGCTTGATTTTCTGATCGCCTAGCAGAATCTCGGATGAGCCGTTCCGTAGCGCTTCTTGAAGCGGTCTCACCAGCATCGATACCGCGCTCAGGGTGTCCTCCTCAAGACGATTGAATTCGTCGAAACAACCCCAGGCGCCCGCTTGCGCCAAGCCGCCCAAGATACGTTTCATACTGCCGGTGTCCATTCCTATATTTCGCAACGGACATTTTAATATTAAATTTAGTTTCGCGTACAAAATCGCATATTTATACCACGTTTAATCCTTTAGTGACAATTTTCTGCCGCAACGATTGAGAAACAAACGCCTTACCTTCATCACAATTGAAGACGAGAACCAGTCTACCCAAAACAGATGCTAGAGCTTTGACACTTTCGGTCTTCCCGGTTCCAGCGGGACCAGTCGGGCTTCCACCCAATCCAAGCTTCATAGCTTGCGTGAGAGCTAAGAAGCACTTCTCTGTCAAGGGAGTTCTCACTAAGCCGATTGATGCCCCTTGATACTCGAAGCGATATGGTAACTCTGCACCGGCGCATCGTACTACGTACGTGCCTTCATTCTTAAATTAAAATATGACAGTGTAATGTAATAATATAATATATAATCAATAAGATGTTATACAAAATGCTTCTTGTTTGGAAAATTTATCATTTAAATATAGAATGCATTTAAAAAAATCGTATTGCGATTTAATTTTTAATCATCGAGACAAGAATGTAATTTTTTTAAACCAAAACTCACAGTTTTGTAACTCCTCAGTTGTTTATACCACGTCCAATTAGCATTCTCGCCCGTTACCACAATCTTGAACAATGATCGAGCCACTTGCAGGTGATAAACGGTATCCAGAAGAAGACCACGCGCTTTCAGAGCGGTCAGCTTGTCACCGGCGTCCTCCAGTCCTCTGTACTTCGCCCTCCGCGTTTCCAAATATTCGACAAGTTTCTGCAGGGACGCGCGACCTTCTTTCAAGGCGCGTTCGCAGCGCTCGGTAAATCCTATTCTCTCTGACAGTAGCAATATCTGTGTAGGATAAACGGACGGATCGGGTGCGGAGTCGTTTAAACACTTCTCCAAACTGTGACGGAGAGCGTTTCTCATTCCTTTCTCGAGATTATCTAGCCATCGCGGTAAAGGTTCAGTGAGATCGACAGCCTTTGGTAACTTCAATATCTCTCCCTCGGGCGACGCGATCGCCGTTAACGAATTATTTTCCTTTACTACTGAACCAATACCGTGATACAACTTCGGCAAATGAGCCTCCAATCCTCTTCCACTGCCCGATACCAATTCCAAAAGGTCTTCATCGCTAAGAAAGTATAATCTCGGATAAGCTGCTCGTTTCTCCTGCAATCAAGATTTTTGTTGTTATTAGCTAACGGGGGTAAAAAAATACAATTTTTTAAATAAAATGTTTTTTAATTATATACTGAGTTTCACCTCTAAAAATTCGTCCAAAGATTTCTGACATCTGTCTAATAGATCCTTCAAACTTGTTAAAGCTGGTAATGAAAGTTGCCTCAAGGATGGTACTCTGGGATCCCGAGATACTTCTCCTATGAGATACCTAAAAGTTCACATAGGCATAAATTGATGTTTAGATATAAGCGAAAGAAAAACGCAGAAACTGTATATAAGCGAATTAAATCGGATTGATATAGTTTAATAAACCTAAATTCCTTATCAGCCCTAGACCATCTTCCGGAGTCATTGGGAGCAGCCCCACTTCCGTAGACTGGCTCCAAGTAAATCCATTTCCTTTGCACGCTGCTGAGTGCCTTAATCCTTTCCTCGAGCTCTGACAGGGCCGCTTCGCAGCGCGCAACTCTAGACGCGAACCTGTCGTGTCCTGACGTGCCTTTCGCTCCTTCGAGCAAGAGTCTCAATTCCTCTATTGTAAGGGAGATTCAAAATTTGAAATAAAATAAACAGATTACAAAATTGATAAAAACCAAACAACTAATAACTAGCAAGTGTAGACAATACCTATTTTCGCTAACAAAGTGCCGTAGTCTCCGACGAGTAAGATTGTTTTATTCTTGCTGTCGGTTGATTCCTGCAACGGAAGTGACGCCGTACTTTCCCAGGTCTCCAGATCTATTAACGCCTGTCGGATCCCGCTCTCTGCGATCGCTCGTTTTGTTATCTCCTGAGAATAAAGAAATACATATATCGTGTTTATGGAAGTCCGAGAATATAAATGTATATAGCTACATATTCAGCCAATCTCTCTCTCTTTCTATCTTTCTTTTTCTCAAGCTTATTATTTTTAATTATTTTTAAGAGCATATATTTTTCGTGTAATGTACTTTACTTTGACATATCTTTTACAGAAAAAATTATATAAATACTGAAATGCTGAAATATTGCTCCTTTCTTCTTAACAATCTTAAACTTTCATGTTCTTACTTTTATTTGATCCTCATTCTCCTTCAGCGTCTTTGTACAAGCGAGCAAGTGGCCCAAAGTGATATCCCGTGGGGTTTCGACCTTCAAACCCAATATAGGAATTAACTCGGTCCAATGCTCGTTGGCAATCTCGTCTCCCCGAAGCGACTGGATAGATTCGATTGCAGATCTGACTTCTTTTATCTTTCTACCGACGAAGGTATCAATCTCCAAATTGTCTTGCAACCGAATTTTATTCTCCCAGGAATCGAGCCAATCATGAAGTCTCGGTAATCTTCTTCTGGCTACGGCCCACTCCTCGGTTTCCTGATTTTTCAGCTCCCCCAAAAACTCGGATTGAAATCTGCAATGGTGTTTAATTACATTTTAATTCGTTTATCGTTAAAAATATTATAATAAAAAATAACTTTTTTTAAGTTAAGACAATTAAAGAAACGAAGAATTCTAGTTTAATAAAAAAAAAGTCTTCCGTTAAAGAGACCTGTAATTTGACTCTTCGGTTTCCAATTCACGCTCCACTTGTGACAGATTAGTGTCGTCATCCTCCAAGACACTTTCGAGGTCCAGAGATATTCTCTTGCAATCCGCTTTCAAGGAATCCAGTTGTCCATTTAGATTGAGCCAACGTTCTTTCATCGACATCAACCAATCAAGCGTAAGATTCTCCGATCTGGCAGACCACTTTACCTGCCATCTTTCTCTCTCATCTCTTAGCGCTATCGCCTTATGACGAAGATTAACTTTAGCATCTTCCAATAGACGCGCCATAACGGACTTGTGTTTTTCCAAACGATCCCCCAAATCCTGCCAAGCGGCGTGAGCCGCGTTAACGCCTGCAAAAAAAGAACAACACAAAACGAATGCTCAGTTTAATATCTTTATTTGCAATTTACGAAGGATCGGTTCTCCTGCAGGAGTTGCGCGACAATCATATTTGGCGAGAAGACATTACCGTCGAGCTTCTCGCTGGTCCACGCGGCCATAACTTTGGCCAGCACAGCGACGACTTCCATCTCCTCGGCGATTCCGGCCGACTGTTGCTCGATGCGTGCATGAGCCTCGTGAGCTAATCCGACCTCTTCCACATCGCGTGGCCTACGCTCGAGCTCCTTGGACGCGAAGGACAGGAAGTCCACGATGGCAACCAGCCGCGAAGACGCTTCCGCTCTCAGATCGGAACACAGCCGTTCCCAATAGTGGCGAGACGCAGTCTCCAAATCGTTCCTCGTTGTCGCCGTGTCGACGCATATGCACGAGATTTTCACCTCGCAACCGCGTAATTTCCCAACCTATCTCGGCGAAAATACGTACAGGCTATATTATTCAGTTAGATCAATATGTTTTAAAAGTACGAAGGTGTTTAATACGAGAACAAATCGAAAAGCAAGTATACATTTGTATATGAAAAGCAATAACAAGACGCACATCAGAGTTAAAAATTTATTAAACTCTAGAGTATAAGAGTATAAGAGTATAAGATATTTTCTGACTCATCCTCGTAACATAAAACTTACCTCTTGGGCCCATTGTTTCGCTTCCTTAAAGGCTTTCGCCCATTCTTGGGGAGGTTTACCTTTCAATCTAAAAAATTATAAACCGATGTAGACGTATATCAATACTTTTCCCTGACTTATTAACCCATTTATAGATCCTTTCTAATTAATTTTTTTTTCATAAAAATTTAATAAAACCCCATTTGTAGTGATTTCTTAAAATATTATTTCAAGTTTACCGTTCTCCAACGTCGATGTTGGCCGGTGTCGCTAGACTTAACCACTTGGTCCTAAACAACTCGAGAGTGGACAGGGCGATTTCGACCTGTTTGTAAACGCCGCTGAATAGATACGCGTTCTTCTGCACCAAATCACCGAAGCGTGCATCAGCGACGTCTCCGACACCCCTAAAGTTCACCGGGATGGAAAGTGATCGGCGTATACCGGAATATAACTTCGCGCGAATATCCTCGAGCGGCGGTCTCCATTGTAGGGATCCATCTCGAAAAGTGAGCTCCACTCGAATTTCCGACAGCTTCCTCGATAAGGATGGCAAGGCATTCCTAGGCGAGACGCGCAATAAAATGGAATGTGTTTTATACTAAATATATCCCCAATAAAAACATCAGTGTCGCTAACAAATTGCACGCAAGTAAGTAGAAATTGCTCTGTATACACCCGCAGCATTTTATTATGATCAAAGATTTCTTAGATCTTTTTAAATCCACTCCTGGATTCTTCCGCGAAATTTATAACTTATACCTGTATGCTACACCCAACGCCTTCAGAAGTTGCCGATCCCAATGTAATTTCCAAGCTCTCGCGTTACCATATTCCGAATCTACCGCGTCGACAATCGCCCTCATGCTCGTCAACGTCTCCTTCCATACGTTCTGATTTCCGACGAGGTGCACAGCATCGCCTTTCAACAAGCCCGACACGTAATTTCGCAAGGTAGAATGCTTCGAGATCAATTCTGAGTTTTGTCGAGCAAACTTCACTACCTGCAGGGGAATATATCGCGCCATAAATTTCATCATCTTGCAATATTAATATAAATAACGGGACGATTCAATTATTACCAATTCTTTTAATCTAGCAGTGTACACGTCGACGAGATGAGGATCAGACCAAACGACACCCGACTGTTCCTGAACAGCCCGCGCTAATTCGAGAGCTATCGTCAACATAAGCGGTCTTTGGGACGGCATCATTCGGTCGCCGATCGTGTTGTGAAAAGTAGCGACCTGCTGAAGAGCTCTAGCCCGTCCAGCTAAAGACGCGGCTCTGTCCACCAGGTCTCTAATCTCCCTTGGCAGCTCGACGCCCTCGCCGGACAACGCTCTGGCCTCTCTGATCAGAGTCATCAGTCGAGGATCATAGGTCACTCGCATCATGCTGGTGCCGGTAAGTTCAACCACCGGCGAATCGGTGCCCAAGCTTAATTCCTTCTTGGTTATATTGTCCTTAGTAGTGTTCACCTGCAAACAAAAATGCGTTACTCGATTTTTTTTAAATATATAAGATGAGATTATATAAAGCTCATGTAATTTTT